GCATTGGCCTCAGTGATGGAGACGTACATCACCATTACACCTGCGAAAAATCCATATTGTAGCATTATCATTGCAAACATGTTGGCACACTGATGTCCACATTAGGCTCAAAGCAACTCATAGCTGTAGAAGGAAGGCATGTAACTATAGTGAGAAAGGTTTGTGGGAAGAAAAATGGCACGATCCATTGTCATTACATTTTCAACTGGCTTGCATTGGGATTCTACGGTCCCGCAATGTACTGCAAAAATCAGCCGACGCAGAACAAAAAAAAACAGACATGTAATTGTGTTTGTATGTTCAGCCAAAGCTCATTTGATCAGAACCAGAGATCTGTGATGTAGCCAACCAAAGCCTGAACATTATGACAGATTGATGAGTTCTACCACATTATATGACAGCATATCTTTGGTATGCTGATGTATGGTATGACTCAAATACAGCATCTGGTGAGGCGTTACATTGTTGGTTTTCCAGGTTTTAGACACATATTATACAGTTGCCATTCATTTCAACTTCAATGCCATGATCTGTGGGAGTGGAGTTTGATCAGTTGTAATGATGTGACCGTAGCATGGAACTTTGGTCATGTAATAACAGGTGTTAACTTACCACACAACATTTAGCACCATAAGATCTCTGCTGGTGCACCCTAAAGACGGGACCCCCCTGAGAGGAGAGTGCTGTAAGACACCATTACGACATCACAGCTGTGGGGAACACTACATGAGTGAAATAAAAAAGAGACTTAATGAATGCTGAAACCAGACAACATCAGCTGCTATGAACACCAGACCAAAACCACTCACAGCATCCCCCGGGAAGGGGTCAAAGGTCATCGACCAGGAGTCAGTGGATGGCCAGGGAAAGGTCAAGGAGGACGTTGAAGCCCAAGACCAGACTTTGGTCTGTCCCTTCTGGGCTACTGTAGAAATTATGAATGATAAAAACTTCTCATTCTAAGGTAATGAAAACACAAATATTATTTTATTCTGCTAAACTAATGAAATCATACCTATGAATATTATATTCCATTTCTGACAATAGATCCTCCTCAATGTTACACACTGGTCCTTTAAACAGAGGTTACAGTCTGCTAAAGAGGATTGTGAGACATACTTTAAAGTCCAGATCAAGTTAGTAAGTCAACCTTGAGTTGATTATTTTGTCAAAACACTATTGTCTTTGACATCTCCCAGTTCTCATCAGTGGATGAATTTGGGTCAGTTGTTATTACTCAGCTATTGGCTAAGATGCGGTACCCCCACTGCATTGGCAGACTAGACTCATTCATGCTAGTTTATGCATGTATCGAACCTATGGCGTCAATGTAGAACATCTACTTAGACAGCTGCTTCTGCCCCACAAAACTTCTCTGCAAATGCTTTACCAGTCGTCATGTACAACTTCCCATTAATAAAGGTAAAATATTCATTCTAATGCACTGATTTAGCATCTCACTTGACTGTAGGTATGCAAGCCAACACACCATGTTACACACCTGTGGTCTGAGGGGCAGCAGCCCTTGTCCACTTCCAGCCATTTCTTGTCTTTCTTCAGCTGTCCCTATCAAATACAGGTGTAAAGAGGCCACACATATTTTAAAGGGCAAGAAAGAGTGAAGTGATTTTTTCATTCTTCCTGGGCTAGTAGCAGATGTCTCACTCCCAGTTAAAGTCAACATTCAGTCTAGTTCAGTGTGAGTGTAGCAGCCAGGCTCTGGACTGAGTGCTGGATTCAACTCGAGTCAATCACTGACTTCCTCCTTCGATACAATGATTCCCGCTCATTTATTGTTCGTCCCTCTTCCTATGTTTTGGGATTAGCGTGGGCAGTTTGAGTGGGAAAAATTGGGGATTGTTTTCATGAGCACTCAGTTCATTCGTCAGGCTGACCAGGTACTTACTAGAGACTAAAATAAGGATTCACACTCTGGGGACCATGGATTTAGAAAGACATCCTGACAATCCATCCAATAGTTGTTGAGATGTTTCAGTCTGGAGGACCGACTGATCCACTTTGTCAGCCCTAGAGCCATGCTGCTAAAAATGTAGATCTCAGAACAGCCTGAGATCAGTTGCTGCTATGGAGATGTTCTGGGTTTTATCTGTGTAGATGACGGGTAATTTTCTTGGGGTGGGGTTTTCTTCTTATCCCCTGAAGATATCATGACATGTAGACTGCAGGAATGCACAGTATGCATCAGGCTGTTCAGATTAAACTGTGTCCACAGAGCAGAGCCTCACCAAATATAGCATGGATGTTTTTCTAGCACTCAGGAAGAAGACCCCTGTGAATCTGAAATGACATTTATCCTAATCTGACATGGCATTTGCCCTAAACAAACCCTGAAGCCGAATGTCATCACATTAGCCAGAAAGAACACCATAATAGGCCCTTTGGAGCCAGTTCACAGTGTGCCCTATACTGTGGTCCAAACCTGGCACCGCTCAGAGCGTCATTTTGCATCCTGGCCTCTCATCCATACAGATAATCAACACCGCTGTTTCTGTGGCAGAGAGTTGGGCGTCCATTTGCATGCAGGCGGCTGCAGTCGGAGGCCCATCTGTCTGCTGGAGCACTTTCTAATTTATGTTAGTTGTTGTTGTCATCGTTGTCAACACACGGCAGCCTCCCCACCACCGACCACCCCTCATCATTCCCCACCCCCGTAACACACACACACTCCCTCCCCCTCAATAGAAGTGACAGTGGAGGAGCTCTGGAACTAAAAGAGCAATCCATCATCTGAGTAAAGCTCCAGTGTGACAGCACACACACTGTTAGACTGAGCAGAGTGAAACTATGAGCCTGAGGTGATTCTTTACAAATACATGTACATTGAATATATATACATATTCATAAATGCCTTCTACAAACAATTATTATCTCACCGTATAATTCACATTGAAAACGAGTTCTACACTTAGGAAATTCCAATGCAACTTTCTCTGGAAAGGTTCTTCTTTATATTAAGAATGATTCACTTAAAACAACCTCAGAGGAATTGACCCTTCCTAAGTCCCGCCCCTTTTTGCTCTGTGCTCCAATAACAGTCGAGCAATCCTCATTCAGAACCTTTCCTGTACACAAATATGCTATGTGCTAGGCTAATCTCTGATAAAAGCGACACATATAGTCTGAAAGGTCCAGTGTGTGACATTTAGGAGGCTAAAATGAGATGTTTTTAACATTCCCTAACTAGCTAGCTAATCTATCTTAATCATTACACAGCTAGTTATCTAGCGTTTTGCTAACATTAGCTAACTTCCAGTGTTTAGTGGTATCTAGTGGTTGTAATTACAGATTGCAACTCCATCGTTTCACCCTCCAAGCGCGAAGGAGAAACTACGGCCCTATCTAGAGTCAGTTTTTGGTGTGTCCCTTCTGGGCTTCTGTAGAAACATGGTAGCTCAACATGGTGGCCTCCATGGAAGAGATAAAAACGGCTCATTCTAAGCCTTAGAATCATTTGAATTCAGAAGATGGTTGTGGTGGTTATACAATAATGAAAACATACCTATAAATATTATTTTCCATTTCTGCCCATAGAGCCTAAATGTTACACACTGGACCTTTAAGATGTGATTCTATATTTACATGTCGCTTTTAACTTAATCTTCAAAATGTGGTTGTCTTTTCAACATAGCGAGCCTAGCACATAGCATATCTCAGTACAGGAAGCTTGCTCAACTGTTATTGGAGCCGGAGCAAAAAGCAACAAAAAGGTCAATTATCTTAGTTATTTATAAATCTTAGAAAAATTGAAAAACAAAAAGATTAGTGTTAATTGTTAGTTTGACCTGTGTGCAGTCAAACCAGAGTGAAGGCTAGAACATAACAGTGGAATGAATGATTTCAAATGTATTTATGTAATTATGAGTAACATGAGTGTAATTATAATATATATATATATATAATGAGGGTTGAGTGAGGACTTTGCTGAAACGTGTATCCAGTACAGATAATGTACTTATTATGATTATCATCAGGGTAAAAAGTGTTAATATCCGTACTCTTAAATTTAGCAATTTATATTCTTTTTAAAACTCATTCTGTAAATAGTTTTCTTACTTTTGTGATCAAAAACGTCTGAAGCTCAGTTCTCTCATAAATAATACAAATAAACAACTTCTGATAGCAACTCATATCAAAACTCTGCACTGGACCAACTTAAAACTTCTTTATCTAACTAAATTATCAGGAAGGAAATGTTGATTAAATAGCTGTTAAATATGGTGAATATATAAAATATCTTATATCTCATCTTTCTGGACCGATCACTTTGACCCCCTTAGACAGATTATCCACTTTATATGGAGTTTTTGTAGTCAAAAATTGATAAATGCAGCTTTAAAATCAACTAATGACCCTCTGAAGGTTCTAGATGTAACAGTAAATGGAGTTTCTACATGAAACCCATTTTCAACAGGGATGCGTGAGTGGGTTGTAGAGGGTAAAGAATATTTTACTTCGGGCATATTTTTTGGAAGTAATGATAGGATTGGCTGTTTTGATTGATTGTAGTGATTCTAGTTTGATCATTGATTGACTGTGAAGACTTTATAATCTTCAAAACCTAAAAATAAAAAGAAGGGATTCCTTAAGACAAAAACCCACAGTGTTTTTAACATTTGCCCTTCAAGCAAACAGCAGTACATGGGTACAATGTTCTTTTGTTTCATTATGCTCGAATAGAATAAGGGTTCAGTTGCAAGCATGAAAAGTACGTGTAGCCGCTGTTCAATGATAATATGATGCTGCCACCTACTGGAGGCAGCTAGAGGCATCATGGGTCTTCCACTTGGTTACAGTTTTCTTCATGTTTTTTCTACATGGCTAGTACAGTAGTGTTGAAAAGTCTGGATATGTAGTTTATACTGAAAAAGATTCAGGAGTGTAAAATTCTTTGTGTATGTGGGGGCATCTGGCAAGATCACCAACACCAGCTCATACACAGGGTGTATTTTCAGTCCCATGATCACACAAAGTCATACAAGTTTAGGAAAAATAATCACTTTATTTTGGATGTCACTTTTAGACACATGTTGAGAAATTGTTGAACACAGTGGAGTTGTGTCACATACACACACACACGTTTCCCCTGGAGTCTTGAGCTCACGTCCCCATACACTTCAGAGCCCCAAACTTATAGTCCTACATTCAAAGGATAACATGGATGTAAAAAAAATTGTGTTTATTGATGTAGAACTGAATTGAAGTATAACTAAATAATAGTTTTGCTAGAAGTCAGTATGTTGAAGCCATAGTGAACTATGAGCTATGGTTAAAAAGGGAGTGAAGTGTTAAAGTAAAATGATATGAATGCTGAATGTGTGCTTATGCCTTGCTACAGTCAAGTCAAATACAGACGCTTTGGGACCCTGGAAATGAGACTCAACTATCTTTCATGGCTCTGATTGGTTGTTTTCATTTGGGCCCGGTGAATTTTTGTAAGAATACCATTAGGAGCACTAGGAGGAGCCTGATTTATTTCTCTGATTATCTACTGTCAGGATATAGTGAATGTTTCAGCAAATATGAAGTTATTTTTATAAAAATGACCTACTGCAGCTTTAATTGCTTAACTACACCTGGGGGAAGACAGGGAAGCAAAACTTCTCTCTGAAATATTAAGTTATTTTTCAAGGTCAGTTGAATATCTAAATTATAATCTGATTATTTGGATAATGTGTCATTAACCCTGCTAAAAACAGTGGCTCAATGAAACCAGGAATGGAAGCCACTACAGGTGGTGTCCCTGTAACATGGTTTAAATAAAAGTTTCACTTTATTATAAATAAAAACCTCAAAATACTGCACAGCCTGTAAAAAGACTGATCATTGTTTTGTACAGAAATAGCAAACAAGTGTGGAAATGCCAAAAAACTACAATGCCAGACTAACAAACTTGAAATAAAACTAACAGTTTGTTTACTCAAAGGACCACATGAACACACCATGTGCACATAGTTGAGCATCGGTCTCTTCATCATCATCAAGAAAACAGTTGAAACATAATAACTTGGCTTGCAAAGGGCTCATTCTGCTTCACACAGAACAACGATCATACAAAAAAAAAAAAAAAAAAACCTGCAGAGACCTCCAGGTAATGTCCGTAAAACTCAGCCAAAAATGTGTAGCGTTCCTTGATATAAGGCTGGCTGGGACTGACTGTCCATGAACTCCTTCAACCACTAAAACACTCGATCGAACTCAGTCTGGCTGGTGGTGGCTGGGTTTCTGTTCTGATTGGGCTGCTGCTGCGGCATGTGCCCCCTCCGCCTGGGCGGGGCCAGATATTCAAACATGGAGGTATTGTGGGTGGAGAGCATGTTCTTCAGATCAGACGGCATGGGGTCGGACCAGAAGAAGTCGTGGTTGAGTGCGTCGTCGCTGTCTATGCGCTGTGCCGGGTCTAGGACCAGGAGTTTGTCGATCAGATCCAGGGCGTACGGGTCCTTGACGTAGGCTTTGAGACGATCCTTCACCTTCCTCTTTTGGCCTTTGGGCAGCTCCATTTTCTGGTAGAGCTCGTACTTCTTATCCACACCAGGCCACACCTGACAGGAGAAGGAAGCGGATCAGGGTTTGGTTGACAAAGACCACGAAATGTGTCACCAGGTAAAAAAGTTCAGTCTGAGCTGCTGTCATCTTACCTCAGCAGTGATGGAGCCACACAGCTGGCTGATGAGAGTGAGCTGGTGCTGCTCAGTGTTGCCTTGCATTATGGGACTTCTGGTCCACATCTCTGCCATGATGCAGCCCCCTCCCCACAGGTCAATGGGGGGGCCGTAGTCTCGCTCACCTACCAAAAAATAAACCAAATCATCTTTCACTGATTGAACAATTGAGGGAAAATCTGAAGGCTGTTTGTCATCTGGACAGATTAACACAGAGAGCAACGTGCAACCACATGTACACCACCTGCCAGTAACTGCCATGTGGTTGATAAAGGGGAAAAAAGAAAAAATGCAGTCACGGTTCCCACTGAGGAACTCCCATTCGGCTCTTCCCAGCACTATGGAGTTTTATGCGGTGGTCTTGGTGGATAATGATGTGAATTGACTACAGTTTTTCTTCTAACCATCCACCATCAACGGCTGGGCAGGAAAAAGCTAAAAGTCAGTTCCACTCACATCTGGTAAACGGGCAGGCTGAGTGAGGGGCTGAAATTAGTTTGACAATTTTCATTTTGACAGACGATAAGAAAGTGTAACACAAGTTCTGTGCTAGTCTGTATTGAGCTCATCGAAGGCACACTGATGCTGTCATTTTTGAATGATCAACAAATGCTATAAATCATTACTGAATGCCGTTCTGATGTTTGATGAATGACAGATGCAGTGTCACTGCAGGAGCCAGCCAACAGTGAACTGCACTGCATCCATTCATGGCAGTAACAGGAAGACAAGGGAGTGCGTGTGTATATTTCTGCCTGCGTGTTTTATGGTTGTCTCTTACCCAGCAGCAGCTCCGGGGGTCTGTACCACAGTGTGACCACGCGGTTGGTGTAGCGGTTCCCCTGGCTGTTCTTAGCCAGGCTGAAGGCTCGAGCCAGACCAAAGTCAGCCAGCTTCAGGACACCATCTCTGGTGATGAGCACGTTGGCTGCTTTCATGTCTCTGTGAAGAATCTGATCCAAGAGAAGGCCATATTATGATTAAGACCACAAGAGTTGAGTTTTAAAGAAAATACACACCCAGGTTTACGTAGGCGATCTGAGGGGGAGGCTAAACTACATTTCTATGGGATTTTTTTTTTTAAGGACAACATTGAATATTTCCAGAATATTTGGTCATTTTAATCAATTCCATGACTGGAACCCTGGTAATGGTGATATACTCTCCCATAAATAACATTCATTTTGTGCCAGTTCAGTGAGAGCTTTCCTCACCAGACAGCAGGTTTTCCAGCTCTCAGTACAGCACCTTTTACAGACAGAGACCCCAGAGGCCAAAACAACCAGTGGATGGTCCTCTATCAGTGCAAACAGGAGCATGCACAAACCAAAGGGGGGCAGATGCTGAGCTGAAAGGGCACATTTCAGGGCTCCAATGTCAACTTATTTATTACACAGAGGTGATGCTTCAAGCACAACTGCTCTCCAATTAGTGGATAGCCCAATGGTTAGCGATCTGTTTATTTCATCTTCATCAACGCCTCACCTTGTTTCTGTGGATGTAGTACAATCCATTGAGCAGCATCTGCATGACCTTCTTGATCTCCGCCAGGGTGAACTTCACATTGGCGTTGCTCAGCAGCCCAGCCAGGTCGTGCTCACAGAAGTCAAATACCAGGTAGATGCTGCCTTTGTATCTGTTGAACTGAGTGGCTTCAAGAACAGAAATAGGGAAAAAATAGAAGGCAAACATCAACATATGCATATATACTTCCTGCTCCTATCAGTGGACACATTTTGTAAAATAAAAATCAAACCTAAATGAAGACAGACATTGACTGTTGGAGCTAATTTATAGACATGGGGCTTGTGAGACCAACCTTTGGTTCTGCAGATCTCGATCAGGTTGACCACATTCTCATGTTTGAGCAGCTGCAGGATCTTGATCTCTCTCAGAGCTGTGATGGGAAACTGAAACAAAGCAGCCAGAGGAAACTGCTTTAATGACTGTGTAGAAACAATGAAGTCATGAGTCAGTCAGTCTTGTTGGTGGAGTTGTGTTTTCAAGGGAGTAAAAGAGGCAGCAGCCACACTGAAGAGGTCTGAGGAGGAGTCCCAGCCAATGGGTAGTTATACAAATGTGGATACACCTCATAACACATCATTCTGCTTTATTACAACTTGAATCCTATTTTTTAAGTCCTGGCCATTACTTTTACACCTGGGCATGTACTGTCAAGTGTACAATGTCAATCTAATCAAATATTTTTTTAATTCAGTGATCATCTCCACAGTCTGCAAGCTTTTCTTCCACTTTGTGTGCACGCTGAAATAAAATCCTGTAAATGGGAAACAAACATGGATTGGACTGGGACACACAACACTGACTCGTTATTCCAGCCTGGATTTGTGTGTCTAGTAGTTACATTACTGTCTGTATCGTATTGATTTCTCCAGAAATCACTTACCACACCTTTAAATGGCTATATAGCACTTTTATCCAGCATCCACATTATTTAAAATACTTTCTTTGGAGGTCAAACTGTACTGCCAGTATTAATGTGAACTGAGCTTTATTGCTGTATAAGAGATTAATGCTTAGTCAGTCGGGTTGGACTAATACAGTATATCAGCTGTATTTGACATCTTATTTTACTAATTTAATGGTCTACCTCTGAAGAACGAGAGCTGCTCACTGAGCCAAAGCACTACTGAGAGGAAAAACAGCTATAGAGCCAGTGTGTTTCACATGGCACTGCGGTAAATTAAAAGGTTTATTTCGACTAGTTTGATGACAATACAGTTGCAACTCTGGGGAAGATGAGGACACAGCAGGTACAGGAGAGGTCGGGGGCATCAGAGACAGTGAGAGTGGGTAGAGCAGGGACGGCTGGTATGTATGGGCTAACAACATATTGTTTAAAATTTTGGTAGAACCTAGAGCAGCAACAGCACCAAACAGTGACAGAAAAACCCCAGGATATATGATATCCTATATCAATTGACGTCATATGCTGCCCATTTGGGCTAAAACGCATGAACGCAGTGGATTATTTACTTTCTAGTCAATTTTCTTTAAAGTCTTTGGAGGAAAAATTGGAAGTGAAGAGACTGGGGACACATTATCGATGTACAAATAACACAAAAGGACAAATGACAAAAACTTGTTACGTGGTTTCAGCTAACGGACTGGCTAACAGCAAGTGTAGCTAGGAATTCACTTTTCTGTTTCCCATGTTTGCTGTTTGGAGGAGACACGACTTGGACCCAACAAGGAATTGTGGATTTGAAAAATGTATCCGACAAAGTTAGCAAACATGAATGCAGCACGAGCCACATTGGAAATAGCGTAAAGTTGTGATTGCTGGGTAAAGTGAACATTGCCTGTCAGCTTAATGAGGGTCACTGCATCCTGTACAGAGACACAATGAGCGGTTAAAAAAAAAAAAAAAACCCAGGCCTTTCCTATCAGGGATTGTGGACTGTATTACATTTTGTGGGGGACACGAGCTTGCCCTGCGGGGTTCCGACGAATCCCCCATTCACTGCAGCGGGGCGTGTTTCTGGACCTCGTTGACCAGTTCTCTTTTTTAGACAGCCAATTAGCCGATCGCCTGTCAAACGCACAGGTTGCAAAGTACACGTCTAAGAGAGATTTATGGACAAAAACTGGCAGATGAAATATCGCAGGCATCTTTTATGGCTGTGCAAGCTGATGAGACAACAGATGTGGCCTGTGTAAGCCAGTGTGTGATTGTGCTCAGGTACATCACTGAAGCCTCCATGGTGGTGGAAAGATTCCTCACTTTCTCCCCGTTAGTGGACAGAACTGTGGCGGGACTTGAAACACTGCTGCTGGAGAAGCTGCAGCCATATCAGTTGGAGAACAAACTGATCACACAGACATGACGGGGCAGCTGTAATGTAGGCGCATCATCCGGCCTTCAGGCCAGGTTAGAGGAAACGTTTTTCTTCAAGTCCCCAGAGAGAACTGCAGTCCTGGATGAAGTGTGGCAGGAGGATCCCAGCGTCAGGACAGACAAGGTGGAACTTTAAAAGCGGCACCGTCCACACCATGTTTGACCATCAGGACACTTTGAAACAGTGTTTTGAAAACAAATACGGGATGAGCAGTCTCGGGACAGCGTGTACGGCCTGTCTGCACTTCTGGGGGATGTTAGCTTTCTTCTCTTTTTATCTTTTTTCCACTCTGCCCTCATGCATGTTCCATATCTGAACTGCTGACCACAGATGACAATCAGCCGCATCCAGATGCGGACACAGCTGCAGCAATGACGTGCAGGATAATCATAATGATAATGTGTCAGTAGCAGCACAGTGCTGTGACATAATGGTCAAACAGTCAAAGGCTCACTTTGAGAAAGCTAGGCTCTTGGTGTCTTTCGAACTGATTGACCCTGAACTCTTTCCGCTGTTTAAGAACACTTTCCCGTAGAAGCAGCTGGACATTGCATGTGAACATTACCCAATGATCTGCAGGGAGAAACTGAAAGGTGAGCTGATGGTGATGTACAGCAGTGTGGAGTTTGCGGGCCTAACGTCCACAGTGTCACTTTTGAGGATGCTGACTGAGAACAATCTTCAGAGCACTTTTTCTCAAACAATGAAAGTAACAAATAGCCATCACAACCCCCATGACATCTGCAGAGTCAGGTGTTTCAGTACACTGAAGATCAAATCCTCTCTTCGTAGTATACTGGGACAGGACAGGCTAAATGCACTGGCTATGCTGTCCATTGAGTGGGACTCAAATCATGCTTTTTTTAATGCCCAAGCTCAGAAACAACTCTCTTCTACAAATACTGTTATTTTTGTTGTCAAATTTTAGTGCACTGCCACAACATTTGATATTACCCAGTGTTTCCCCTATGTTGATTTTGGAGCGGCGGCCCGCTGCTGTTAAATTTCTGTTTCGGACGGACCTGCCCCCACTGCTAAAACAGATCCTAGAGGAAACACTGATTACCTGTTACTGTTACGCGTTACCTGTTTCAACGAAAACAACGTGACTGACTCGTGCAGTGCGTGCTGTGGGGGAGGGACAGAAAAACGCATGCGCAAAATACGCAGACTGTGGCAGCTTTTTTCTGTACAATGTTGCACAACAGAAAATGAAGAAAATAGTTTCCCCCGATTTATTAGTTTTGAGATTGTTTGGCCCCAAAATTGTAGTCATGATCAAATATATATATATATATATATATATATATATATATATATATATATATGATTTTTTGGAATCAGGTCATTCTTTTGGGTATGTCTCCCCAGTGTTGCTGTAGAGCCCTTGCTATAACAAAGTATACAATGTTGTTGCTGTAACTTGATGTGATGCTACTGTTGAATGCATTACACTCATCAATACTGCATTTGTTAGCCCACCCACCCAAAATCCCCACCAGCCGTCACTGGGGTAGAGCCAGAATATTTTCACATCTAACTCTGTAAGACAGTTAGACAGCAGAGCTAGTGATTGTGGGAACAGTGTAAAGACTAATAAAGTCTGGTGAATTTTATTTTGTTTCTGTTGAGTTTGAACGAAGTGTGAATGTTTTAAAAATCACTTAAGACCATACTTTGTTATAGCAGATGAGTTTATTTTGGAGCTTGACGCATGTAGTGAACTCAGCACTGCAACTACTGGGGTGGTGAATTGGGGGGGGCTGGAAATGACTGGAAATTTGAACATATCACCCAACCCTAACAGACACCTTCTCTTCCAAACCTAGGACCTGGGAGTTTGTTTACAATGTGCCTGGGTGTCTTTATTGCTAATGTTTGCCCATCTGAAATCTTTAGTCACTTCATATTGGACTGTTCCCATATCTCAGCAATTAATAATTCATTTTAAAATAGGACCCATCTTATAATAACCAAAATGATCCATTCACATGCCCTTCCTTTTCTGTCATATGGAAGAACCACTTGTGTCCACATCCACAATTGCTCACAGTGCAGTCTCTCACACCAAAGAACTATTACAGAAAACTCTGAGCGTCCTCTTACCCCTTCTTTCTCATTTTCCATCAGTACTTTCTTCAGTGCGACCTTCTTCCCGGTCTGCCTGTGCTTTGCTTTGAACACCTCCCTGTGAAGAGAATATCACAGCACAACAGACAGCTTCAGATGAAGCCCTTTCACTGTGCACACTCACAAAAGGAAGCAAGCCTGCTTGAAAGTATAAACTACGTTGGTTAATCATTTCTAGCTGCACATATTCTGCTCATTTCCTCCTGGATTTTTTTATTTAAACGTGCTTGAGCTCACAGAGAAGGTGAGAATTAAACTGAGTGCACTGTACTACCTGCTGCTCTTTACAACACAGACTGATAATCCTTCATTCAACTATAAATCCGTCTAAGATTGTGGTGATGTTGTGTATATGATTGCAGCCCCATCCACACTGAACTCCCTTGATAGAGTTTAGCACAGTTGTATTAGTGGAGGTGGTTTTAGAACACACTGTGAACTAACACCAGACTGTGGGTTGACAAATGAGGAATGATACAAGAACTCGGCACTTCCCAGGATATGATTCAATAAACATTTTTTAAAGTCTCACAAACATGTAACATATATCTGGTCCTAAAAACGAGCTGAGCAGATGACAACATGGAGAAGTCAAGGTTTGAATGTCCTTTATCACTCTTTATAACTAAAGTTAGCTATCAGCACAGCTAACGCTAACGTTAGCCACACAAACACACCAAACGTATTTGCAGTTACGCGAAGAGATGCTTATGTATCACTCACCCAAAGGTGCCTTGTCCTATTTTGGCCATTTTTTCATATTTGGAGAACTCGTCACAGAAAGGGAATTCAACTCCATCGTAGTATTTCGACATTATGGCGGCCTCTCGGTCGGGCCTGGACAGACAGTTCATTCGAAATTAGGGCTTTTCCGCTAAAACACGGGTTATACACAACATGTCCGACGAAATGTTAACAGATGAAAATACACATGTTTAAAAAAATGTCATTGTAAATATTATATTCTTACTTTTCAGCCGCAGCGGCGTTGCTTGTTTTGTCTCGCTGCATCCTGTCCCGTTCCGAGTCTGCGCAACTGCAACTGCGACCTCGCCGTGACCGACCGCGACGCTATATACGTATGTTGCATTCAAGTGCAGCTCAGGCTCCAGGCTACACACAAAATAAATGAAATATTATTTGCACTCTTGTTATCCGCCGGGTTTTCAGTTTCCGTATTATTAGCTGTCATTTAGTTTCCATAATAATATCATATATATATGCTTATATATTATATGTATGATTTTAATGTTTCTCTGTTGTATTTACTACTACCTTAGCGCTAACATACCAAGTCTAAAACAAAACAAAACACACATTTGCACGAACATTTGACCGATATGTGTAAAACCGATTATTAGGGTAGCACCTGAAGGCAGCAATTTGAAACAACTTGACAGGAATGAACTGAGAGCGACACCTGGCGACTCGGAGTAGTTATACCACCTGCCAAAATGAGTATATTAAAATGTACTGGCACAATTTATTTTGACACAATGGTTTTGATTTTATTTGCTGTTCTGATGTTCTGAATCTGATGTTGTTGTTTTAATGTTAATATGGTAAATGGTAAATGGACTGTACTTATACGGCGCCTTTCTTTCGACCACTCAATGCGCTGTACGCTACATGCCACACTCCCCCCATTCACACACATTCATGTCCATGTGGGCAAACGTTTGTTACAAAAATAAAAAAGTGAATAAACTATGATTTGGTTTTTGTGCAGCCTCCATGACTGTGTGAGAACAAAGTTTTGTTTATATTTTGTGGATATTAAGTGGCTGTGAATTGAACATCCATGTAAAGCAAACAGGACATCCACAATCATTCAAAGCTAGTTAAACCTTTTTACGGTTAAGTTTTATTCGCAGCATAATGACCTTTTGCTCAAAGTCACAATCTGAACCTCTGGACCATTGACAGTATGTTCTGGACCTTTCTCAAGGGGTCTTATTTTCCTTGCTTATAATAAATGTTAGCTATGTAAAATAACAATATTCACTTTACAAAATGTTTTTTAAATATTCCATATTCAGGCAGTATAGAAGACAATACAGTCCGTTTGTTAGTTATAAAGACCCAGACCTGATAGACTTATAAAACACCAACATAAAAATGAAGTACACAGTTATATCAAGGACTTAATCAAATAAAAGTAATTAATAAAATTAAGACAAATAAATATAATCAAACATAGAAAAATAAATAGCGGCTTTGTAAAACGAGGGGGCGTGTCGTAACGTCATTACGTAGGTGAGCAGACTCTGGCTCCAGCTCAGCGCCTCATGATGGTGTGCATGTCGCGCGTGTGGCAGCGGGGCTCCGCGTTTGCCGCGCGGCTCCGAAGGAAGGACTGGGCGTGCAGGTTGGCGGGCCTTTCAGTGAAACACTACAGCACCAAGACGGCGCCGCAGATACCAGGCATGGAGTACCAGGTAAGCTCTAACACCCAGTCTTCGCACCGGCTGCTAGTGAGCTAGCTAGCCACCTCTGCTAGTTTGACAAGTTTGTAACTGAACTGTGGGTGACTGCACAGTTTAGAGATGGACGGAAACATGGCTGACAGGACCGCACCAAACTACAGAAAGTTTAGCTGGCGTTGTTAGAGGAGCCCAGTGGCTCCTCTAACAACAGCTGGTTGCTGAGGCACTGAGCTATGAAAAGTTCTAGTGTAGACAGAGCTGGCAGCACACTGTCAGCTGGACTGTCTGTACCTGCCACACACACACACACACACACACACACACACACACACACACACACACACACACACACACACTCTGACTCAAAGTCCGACCACTGTGCTAACACGTGCTGTGTCTTCTTTGATGCCATATTTGAGTTTCTCGTGGTGTGGAAACTTAAGCGTTTACCTTTATTTCCTCTGTGGGTTGTGTTGTGTTTTAATAGAGCTCTCGCCACTTCATCTAAAGTGCTGTTAAAACATGGATCTGTTAGCAAGCACAATGAAGACACTGTCTTATCTTCACTTGTTGCAGTTCATGCATATGAAGGTGATGGCAGCATATGCATCACTATTTTTATATATGTAGCCAGTTTCTCCATTTGCCTCAGCCATTATCGATTGCTTTTCTCTCCCAGCTTGTTATGGCTGAAACTACAGATCATGTTCATTATAGATTGATCAGAGTTTGATTCCGCTCTCATGTCTGTACAGTAATATGAAGCCACCACAAGCAGCTGGTTATCTTAGCTAAGCACTGGCTCTGTCTAAAGTAGGATTGCAAATTGAAAGCAAAGATAATAAAATTTTATCCTGAAAGTAGTACATGAGACAGATAATCTGTAAAAAAAAAAATCCTCGTAGTGCTCCTAATGAGATTTACAAAAATCCACCGGGCCTGAATGAAAACAGTCTTAAATAATGATCTAAACATTAAATGTGAACTATAAATTTAATTTAGTTTTTTCTGCAGAAATGAATGAAATGCTGAGATACAGGCCTACTGTGTATATATATTTTCAGTTTTTGCTGTGTAGATTATGGGGGTTTATTTTTGAGCATGCTGCTGTTCTAAACATTTAACTCTTAACTTTTTGCCGCAGGACGCCATCTGCACTCTGAACACACTACAGACCAACGCCAGCGCACTGGAGCAGGTTCGAAGAGAGCGCAGCCACCCGCAGCTGCAGCTCCAGGCCATGAGGAGCTTCCTGGAGCGATCGGGCCTCACAGTGAGTCCGTCCTATCAGCTCACATAGTGCATCGGCCACGATTGTTACACAACAGTGACCACTTCAAGCATTACAAAGAATGTTATTGTTGTCTAACGTGATAGAGTAATTGTTTCCTCTAATCTTATTGTGTGTGTCTCAAAGGTGGAGGAACTGGACCATCTCAATATCATTCATGTGACGGGAACAAAGGGCAAGGTAAGCTGACTGGACAACAAGCTGCTTGTGTTGCATCCACATATAGAATTAGAGTTCTATAGAGTCACACAGTCACACAGTCACAATCTCGTATCACAGCTGAACAGTTCACTAAAATATGATTGTGAATAGGCAACCCAGTAACAGAATCTTAATTCATATTTGATCAGCACTGCCCAGTATGATCTGAGTTCCTGACTCACTAAGAATGACCTGTCAATCACAAGGTAGCCCCGCCCTAAAGAATACTCTGCTTTATCATCTATTTTACTCTAAATGGGACCATCATTTACTAAATGAACATCATGCTGTATGGAAGAAGACTCAAACTAGAGACTGAGACCATAAACTCATCAGGAAACTGTTTACTGAGCTCATAAATCAACTGAGAAGTCAGCTCATTCTCCATTTGAGTGAATGGTATCTGTGTGTTATTGTAACCAATGGAGCTCCCCCTGCTGGCCTGCATATAGAATGCAAGTTTAAGACGCTTCAGCTTTGGCTTCACTTTACAGACCCGGAAGCTCTGTCCATTATATATACTGTCAATGGTCCACACCAATCCTGGAAAACCTGGAAATTGAGAGACTAGTTTTCCAGTAATGAAAACACCTGGAAATTGATTAAAATGACCAGATATCCTGGAAATATTCTACATTGTCCTGGAAAATATTAATTGTATTTCACGGCAAGAGGAAAAAAACATTGAGGCCTACCGGTAAATTATATGACAGTTTGGACTCCTGGGAAGGTCCTGAAACATGATTTTATAAAAGAATGGGAATCCTGTTAATGCATTCGAGGGGAATTATGGTTTATTATTTTCTTGCATCACTGCACGCCTTCCCAACATCAAGACCCCGGTGCATATCACACAGGACAGACGTAACATGACAAAAACAACTTAAAAGACGAAATATGACAAAATAGAGACGGGGGGGACTGGACTGTGTTTGAAGTTTTAGTTAGATCCTAAAATGTTGTTCAGAGAAACTAAGAGAGTACTTTTTAATTTTATATTTTGAGTACATTTCAGAGCCTGTACTTTTTTATTTTTAGTTGAGTTAAGAAGTTGAATCAGTCCTGTGTCTTTTTGTTTACACAGTTATCTGTATGTCTAGTTGAGTAAAGAATATGTGTACTTTTGCCACCTCTGTTGAGCTCTCATTATGCAAGGTCTGACCGAAGGTCATGCAAACATGTTTTCAAATGTGCGTTCATTCACTGAAGGAGACAAACTGTTGTGACAGCGCTGTGTGGCCTCTGAGTGTTTGTGTTTATCTTTCAGGGCTCAACATGTGCGTTCACCGAGCAGATTTTGAGAAGTTATGGCTTCCGCACAGGATTTTACAGGTAAAAGTAAAAGCAGCATATGAATAAAATGTACACTCTTTGATACAGGGGATGCCTGGGCCTCATGCTTTTTGTTGGGTTTTTAACAACATAACTGACCAGTCCTCAGGCAGCTTTTGGTGTGAGTTGCTGAGATTGGGAGATATCGGCTGTAGAGATGTCTGCCTTCTCTCCGATATAATGGAACCAGACGGCACTCAGTCTGGGGTGCTCAAATCGCCAAAATATCCATTTGAAGAGTCTACAGCAATGTCTCTTCATCATGACCTGGTTACTCAAAACAATCCACAGACCTTGTTGTGAGCAGTTTCATGTAGGAACTTTAATGTTTACATCCTGTGCTGTTACGAGCTTCTCGTCAATGAGTAGATGCACTCTTCCTTCTGCGCGGTGATATGTAGAAAGAAAATAGTTCCTACATGAAACCAGTCACAACAAGGTCTGTCCATCAGACCAGCTTGCTAGATTTCCACTTGTACAACAACCTCAACGTATCTCATTTATTTAATTGGCTGTATAGCGAGAAAAGTTGAAGATGATAACTTTAAGCTACTTTACAATGAAAAGTATAGCTACATCTTAACTATGCTCAAAGAACTGTAGCTTGTCAGACTAAAAGTAGTTTAACTACCTCCAAAATATATTGTGAAAATTTGTCACAATTTGTCTGGAATCTCATATAGTTACACAGAGGTGTGATTGAAGGAGAAGAGGACCTGCTCCCTCTATAAATAAAAACAGTTGATTCTAATTCTAACAAAACACAACCATTCTTATTTTCAGGTGATAATACACCAATGAAAACATAGCTATGAATATTGTATTCCATTTCCAACAATAGATCCTAAATGTTACACACTGGACCTTTAAGCATATAGCACAGCACTTCATCACATGGCTGTATGATAATACGCTGTCACATTGTTTTAATTTTTTTTTTTTACCATACAGGTGTGTGCATCCCTGAATGATATGTAATTAAATATTAAATATAAAAATTATTCACAGGAATGTGTTGCTTTAATGTCCCGTATTTTACTTTACATTCATTTAAAATATCACAAATCAGTTTTGAGATCGAACAGCAGTGATGGCTTGATACAGGCATATAACATAGACCTGCAAGCGTAGTTACGTAACATCATATTTGTATTTATGCACTTTGCTGTGGTATTTGTTTGTTTCATACTCTGTCAGTGAAAAGTGGCTAAACACTCCTGTTTCCTTGTTGTTTGCAGTTCCCCACATTTGGTCCAAGTCAGGGAGAGGATTCGAATCAACGGACAGCCCATTGGAAAAGAGCTCTTCACTAAATACTTCTGGCAGGTTTATGGACGGCTGGATGAAACTAAGGTAGGTCCTGTAACCATACAGAGATGTATGATTTTAAAACACAGCCCCTTGCTTTTAATGGAATGGTTTCTTTTAACCAACCCTAGCTACTCATTGACTCAGTGCAATGATTCATTGGATTACTCTTTAATCATCCCAAAGTGACCTGTGTCCTGTTTGTGCTCCCAGTCTGAGCTGTGTATGATCAGTGTCACAGGTTGTAATTGAGCCAATAGAAATGAGACCCCTCATGTCAGGATAAACGTGACCCTCATGTGACAGTGCACTTTGGTCACGTTACCAGCATTCAGTGTGCAGTTTGAGTCAATGAATTGACCAACTGTTGTGGACACTCTGATGGTTGTTTTTTGTTCCATGGAGAAGTGATGCTACTTGGACGCAATAAAACCTGACTTAAAACAGAACATTTAAAGCTGATACAATGTAGGGAATCCAAATGGATATTTGTTTTAAGGGATTTTTTTCCATGTCCTATAGTGTATATTATTGCTTGGAATCTTTGCAAACGAGCTGCTGCAGTCATTTTATTTCCTTGTCTTTGTCCTCCTCAGGACGCCCACGGAGGGACGATGCCGGCATACTTCCGCTTCCTCACCATCTTGGCCTTCCATGTGTTTCTTCAGGAGAAGGTATGCTAGCAGACCTGTGCTGCCTTCACCAGCAGCCTGCAAATAGATAAGAGCAGGCATATGTCACTCTCTTGTCTTCAGAACAACGCCCCCTTTTGGGTGAAACAAGCCCTGTAGAAGTTCCTAGTGGTACCATGCCTAGAGGGTGCTGCGTCACATTTTAGGCATTAAATAATGAAAACCCCCAGTTTACAATTTTCTTTACTCATCCAATGAGCGAAGGACAGTGAAAGAAGAGATCTGTGGTTTCAGGCCATCCACAGGGGGGTTAAAATGGTAAATCGTGGGACGCGGGCAGTCAATATGTGTCTGTCTGTGGCAAATACTTAATCACAGATTAGTTAATGCTGTTAATGAGTAAATGATGTGCTGAATCAGAAAGGAGTTTTAGTTATGATTTTAGTTAGCTGGTCATACACCTGCCATTAGATTTGAATCTGAAACCTTCTCCACAGAAAAGAGCCATTCTGGTTCATACTCTGGGGGTATGCAGTGGTTGAGATGCCTTGCTCTGGATCAGTGTGCTGGATGGGCAGACTGATTCAGTTTAGAGCAATACGTTTTATTAGGTAAATGACTAGCTCTCCTTGAATCTAATCAACTCTGCTCTTTGTCTAGGTGGATTTAGCTGTAATTGAAGTGGGGATTGGTGGAGCATATGACTGCACCAACATTATAAGGTAATACTCATTTATAAAGCTTCTGTCGAGAGTGTTGAGACTGACTCACTCAGTACAATTACATTTTATCATTCTTAATCACAAATGTGATTCAGACTTGTAATCCATTTGTTATTAAATTACTTAAGTTAGGTTGTGCAGTACTGATGTCACCTTGATACAGGCACAACTTGATAATGTTTTGGACCCAATAAAGGACTGCTGTAGTGCCACTATAAAAAATTATTGATTCAGATTTTATCAAACTTTATCATAGAGCTGAGAACACTCCCAGGCAGCTGAGTGCACAGAACCCTCACTGTTGCAGGCAGTTTTGCTCTACATGTGTTTTCTGATTGAGAGTCAGATGAGGGCTAAATAAATCCACGTTCCCCTCTCTGTGTTCTGGTTTGTGTCAAATGTCCATGTCTTTTGGCAAGAAGTATAAGTTTTAAGGCTGTAACTTCACTTTTGTCCTGAATTAAAATCACCCTGCAATAGTAATAAGTAATTGCTGGCCGTGCCAATTACAAAATGGCTGTTTTTCTACAATAAAATCCTAATGGTAACGGTAAATGGACCTGTACTTGTATAGCGCCTTTCTAGTCTTCCGACCACTCAAAGCGCTTTTAAACTACATGCCCTTTCACACACATTCACTCAGTGATGGCGAAGCCCATCAAACAGAAACTCATTCATACACATTCACACACCGATGCACGGCATCAGGAGCAATTCAGGGTTCAGTATCTTGCTCAAGGATACTTCGACATGTGGCGGGAGGAGCCGGGGATCGAACCAACATCCTTCCGAGTAGGGGACGTCCTGCTCTTCCTCTGAGCCACAGCTGCCCCTAATCCACCTAACCCTAGTTAAAAATAATGCATGGCATTAAAGGACAATTCCGGCGCAAAATGAACCTGGGGTTAATAACACATGTGTACCGAGTTGGTCCGTTCTCTGGGATATGTTTTCATGCTAATCGACCGTGACCGGTTTTAGCACAAACTGCTAACTAGCTTATAACGCTAGTCAACGGGGCACAGAGTAACGTGAAAAGAAATCACTTTTTATACCACTAACAAGACTCAAAATAGCACCACACTTACACGGTAGCATAATGAGGGTCCCTATGTATAAACCGCAGCATTGAGAACTTTGTAAGTGTACAGACAGTTTATTAAAAAGATAGTTTAGAACAACAGTAGCGTTCGCGTATACAGGCGGGCGCTATCTTGGGAAAACAGTCAGGGGTTAGGTCATTCATGCAGATCAATGATGAAGATTTACAGCCGGCGATGTGAACTAAAACAAACGTAATCTGCTCAATATATCAGAAATAATCGCACCGATGTAAAACACAACTTGTCTAGTGTACTTACTCAGTGGATAACTGTCCATCTGGTCCCTCCGGTATGAGTCGCTGCCTCCAATTTATTTTCGGGACATTGAAAAAAGTTTCAAGTACAGCTCTGTTTATCAGAGAGGGGAAATCTTCAGACTGTACAAAACACTGCGTCTCTTGGGTGTCGCGACGCAACAGGTCCCACTCCGTGCAACACAGGCACTCCTCTTCGGTGGCCATAGCTTCACAATGTCCGCAGGTACACCACCAGTTTCCCGAAGTAAGAGGCTGTGTTGCAGCATTGACTACCGGTAGCTCTCTCTCTCTCGTAGCCCTTTCACGGAGCTCCCGCAGCTTACCGTGTAAGTGTGGTGCTATTTTGAGTCTTGTTAGTGGTATAAAAAGTGATTTCTTTTCACGTTACTCTGTGCCCCGTTGACTAGCGTTATATAAGCTGATTAGCGGTTTGTGCTAAAAACCGGTCACGGTCGATTAGCATGAAAACATATCCCAGAGAACGGACCAACTCAGTACACATGTGTTATTAACCCCAGGTTCATCTTGCACCGGAATTGTCCTTTAATAATTGATTAAATCATAAATGAGCTCATATTTCATTAAAATGTTTGTTACATAACTTCTGTTTCTTTATTCATATGACATTTATTCAATTCATCCATAAATCAACAGGGTTTCATTGTAACATCTGTAAACAATTATTATTATTTTTTTTTTTACTTTTGACAAACTGTGTGTACCTGTCTCACATGCTCCAGTATGAGGAGGTTATGTTTCAACTATGGTCTATAATTAGTGGGAAAGGCTTTTTCAGAACTTTGGTATTGCCTTAATTAAGGTAACATGTGCCTTTTTTTAAATTGCCCTTGTGTAAACCAGGCTACTGTTCCTCTGTACTTGAAGTGTACTGTTTCACTGTTGTACTGTTGTTCTATAAAGTTTTGTTTACAGCCTTATCAGTATTTTAATATTATGCCGCTGTGGTTGTGTGTCAACAGGAAGCCGTGGGTGTGTGGTATCTCCTCTCTGGGCATAGACCACACTCAGATCCTTGGAGACACCATTGAAAAGATCGCCTGGCAAAAAGGGGGCATCTTCAAGGTGTGTTGGCTGTACACATCAGTAACATGGCATTGTGATTGGACTAAATACAAGTATATATAAGTAATAAGACCATTTAAATTTTTTTTTAAATCCAGTCTTCATATGGTAAATGGATCTGTACTTGTATATCGCCTTTCTAGTCTTCCGACCACTCAAAGCGCTTTTACACTACATGCCACATTCACCCTTTCACACACATTCACTCAGTGATGGCAAAGCCCATCGAACAGAAACTAACTCATTCACACACTGATGCAAGGCATCAGGAACAATTCGGGGTTCAGTATCTTGCTCAAGGATACTTCGACATGTGGCCGGAGGAGCCAGGGATCGAACCAACAACCTTCCGATTAGTGGACAACTCGCTCTGCCTCTGAGCCACAGCCGCCCATTGTTGTCACAGAGATGGACATTTTGGGTTGATTTTGAATTTATCCACTGATAAAGATTGTGTGTTTGAAAGCACTGGAAAAGGGGTTGTTATTTTCAAGGCGAATAATTACTCAAATAAAACTATTTATGAATTAGATTTCGACTAACTGGTTGTACAGTATTTGCTTCTCCACTGCTCTGCCATCTCACAGCTGTGTGTTTTCAGCCAGGGGTTCCTGCCTTCACAGTCAAACAGCCAGAAGATGCGATGGTTGTGCTCAGGGACAGGGCCAAAGAGATAAAGGTAAGTAACCACTCAGACTAATAGACTAATGCAATGTGTTTAAGTCAGATATTGCTCAGTGAAATGTAAAGTCTTGTTGAAATCTCACTTTGATGTAACACAGTCTGACCTGTTGTTGCAGTGTCCTCTGTGGGTGTGTCCAGAGCTGGAGGGCTACCAGACAGACTGTGGACCTTTGCGCCTGGGCCTGGCAGGGCAGCACCAGCGCTCCAATGCGTCCCTGGCCCTCCAGCTGAGTCACACTTGGCTGCAGAGAAGATGTCTACCAGGTGGGACGGGAATTTCTGAAAATTTGAACTGTGTGTCAGTGGCAAGAAGGAAATCATAAATCCACAAGTGAAAGAGAGAGACTAACAAGGCACCCACTAGCTACAAACGTCATCATCATATGCCTTAACTGCATTTGAACCTGTTAATACGTTATTGTGAGATCAAGTCTGAACTTTTTCTTTCATCGCAGTAGCTCCATTTGCAGCATCACAGAAAAGAAAAGACAAGAAACAAAGAGATAAAGTGTAGCATCAGTGCTCCAACAACCAGTACGACTGGACCTGGAAAAAGCATTATATTAAAAATCTCATACAGACTTACAACTTGTACAGCGTGTAAGGTGCACAACAAAGTAAGACGCTTCCCGGCGGCACAGGCACACATTTTAGTTTTCTCGCATTAGCAACTTGTTCAACACGCAGCGTACCAGACATTCACAGAGGAGACGAAACCTCTGGCATCCGCAGTTTGCTGGCAGTTGCCCCTTATTACCTAATCACTGTCAGTGCAGTGAGTTACAGGTTGGCCAGACCAACTGCCCCACAACGTCAGTTTCACTTGGCTGCACTCTCTGCCTTAGGGAGAGTGTAAATCTATTTATATAATTGTGTATGTGACACAGTGTTCATTTTGTGCACAGCCTAAAACCCTTTTCAGACACACATCTCGTTGCCGAATAGTTAGGTTAGACGTAAAGACCCAGGAGTCAAGGTTAAATATAAAGAGATGGAATGCATGTCGTATTCCACCTGACTAAACTGACTAGGAGTCATCAGTTGAGAATTTGACTTGCACACAGAGTAATGCAGGAGCGACAGCATGTTTTAGGTTTTAAAATGACCACAAACCACAAAACTAACTGTGATAGAAGCGGAGAAGAATGATAGTTAACCGAGGGCGACACGCTGGGCAGTGGCTGCTCCAACGCTCTCTGCTCCAGTGTCAGTGAAGTTGGCTAAACCACTTTTGAACCAGACGGTGGTCCAACCTCTACTACCTTCCTCTGTGATTGACTCTGGGGCTGAAAGTGCTGTAGCAGCCTGGCAGCAGAGACGCTCTGTGGTGAGCTGGGATTTTATAACTGAGACAAGACGCACTCTTTACTTTCTCTGACTGTTGTTTTCACATCACAGATGATAAAGAAAGGCAATAAAAACGTGATGTTACCCTAACCATAAAACATGAGACTTCACGCCACAGGAACCGCTGATATAGGAGTCCTAAATTGGCAAAAAAAAAGCCATTACTGGAATGGACAGGAATGCTGTGTATTCCATGCCTGAAAAGGTTTTAAATCTGTCTTCTCTCTCAACAGATAAAAGCTTTCCCTCAACCAGTGTTGAGAATGCAGGTGTTCTTCAGGGGACTTCCTTCAAGCCCAGCCCCATCATGGTGAAAGGTGAGTGCTGAAGAACAATCAAATACATGATTTAAACCTGCTTTTTCTCTAAAGGCCAGTAGGGGCCGACTCCACTGTTTGCAGAAAGACTTTCAAGTGAGAAAATGAGCCGACTTTTGACTTTATTAATGAGCTCAGTAAACAGTTTTCTAAAGAGTTTCTGGTCTCAATCTCTAGTTTCAGTCTTCTTCCATACAGCATGATGTTCATTTAGTTAATGATAGTCCCATTTAGAGTAAAACAGACCATAAAGCAGGGTATGCTTTAGGGCGGGGCTACCTTGATTGACAGGTTGCTAGCTCATCGATCAGATCATCCCTCGCTCCTCCACAGCTCCACCCTCTTGTCCAAATATGGTCACTTCTGGCTGTGCGCCAAAGCAGTACACCACGAACAAGTGTGTGACATCACGATGGCTGCGTCTTCTTCTTTTATATAGTCTGTGAATTCAACATGTTGACATATGACCATTGGAATTAAGAGTTGGGACTGAAGAGTGGCAGTCAGTGAAGGACATTTGGACTTGTGGAAAACATCTGCAACATAAGCAGCTGTGAAAGTAAAAGAGCAAAGTATACCCCTCCTAAAAAGTAGATGACAGAGACTCAATTATGAACAAATGTCCAGTTTCTGTTTCACCAAACGATATGACAAACACACAGTAAAGCTCTTCAGATGTCACAGAGCTTGTTACTGGTGGTTGCAATAATTCAAATTCAAGATTCAGCAACGTGACATCATCATCCACAAGTCTGTCTGTCTGTCTGTCTGGTCGTCTGGTCTCAGGGCTGGCAGACACAGAGTGGCCTGGAAGGAATCAGACTCTGAAACACGGAGCAGTCACCTACTTCCTGGATGGAGCTCACACCATGCGCAGTATGCAGGCCTGTGTTCACTGGTTCACAGAGACGGCAGCCCAGCATGAAAGGAACGCAAGGTGAACGTCTCTCCCTAATGACATCACACTGGGCTGCAACTCTGTTTATAGGTTCAGTAGACTGACTGTGCACAGTTATTACGGGAGGTGCTTATAGTACTGAGCCAGGCTCCCTGTACCTTAATAACTGTATAAGCATAAAACATTTGCTCAAACAGCTGGAAGATACAGATGTAAAACCTTGATGTGTGTGTTGTAGTGGGCCTGTGGCCAGAGTGTTGCTGTTCAACGCTACAGGAGAGAGAGACTCAGCAGTCATGCTTAAACTACTGGTGGTGAGTACAGCTGCCTGCAGGAATCCAGAGAACTAGGAAGATGTATATGTGTGTATATAAAAAATACAAACACATGTAGACCCCTCCCTGTTCAACCTGGTTTGTTTCACTCTGGCAGCATCTTCTGCCCCTGACTGAGCAGACCTTAATGTGTTCTTTCCTTGTTTCTTTTCAGCCATGTCATTTTGACTTTGCTGTGTTCTGCCCAAACATCACTGAAGCCATCGCTTCTTGTAATGCAGGTGAGCTCATTGAGCCTGTTGGCAGCTAACAGTGAACTCTACCTGACAGGATTAAAGGATCATACTAGTGGCTTTTAGCCCATTAACTATAAGTCACATGTGCTTTTCATGATTGCTAATTTCCCAAAGCGTTCTATAGGAACAGTGCAGCATTTTGGGAAGTATCCTGGTTTGCTTAATTTCTGAGAGTAAGAAGAATGAATACCTGTGCTGGAGTAAAGATGTGCTTAGCATTAAGACTGGAAGCAGGGGGAAACGGCTAGCTTAGCCATGTCCAAAGATCAAGCAATGGCTGGATTCACAACTGCCTACTATATATACTATATACAAAGTGATTTGGCCAAAATATAGTATGCAAAAAAAGGAAATCTGCAATATGCCAAAAATACACAGATGTCGTACTGATTCGGAAAAAATGTCCAGTATGCATCAGACCAGTCTACCTCGCCTACTGTGTCCCACAATGCAACACAGTGGAACAATCACCACAACAGGATTTTTTTGGGGCACATTTTGTTGCTATTTCACCACTAAATACACTTACACAAGAAATCAATCATGCAGATTTGGAATATTGGCAGCTTTAAGAAAATTGATGGTGAATCGAAAACGTGCTCCCACGCTGGAGTTCAGAGGCTCCACAACCGGCACAGCATCGGGAGCAATTTGGTGTTCAGTATCTTGCTAAAGGACATCTGTGTATGAATTGGTGAATGTGACATGTATTGTTAAGTGCTATGAGTAGTCTGAAGACTAGAAAGGTACTATTTAAGAGCATTATCAATCTATCAGGTAAATGTTCATCTTTGGGAAAATCATGAAAATCCACATGTATAACTTTTTTAGAGCATTATGGGGACTACACAGTAGTGGTGGTTGGCTCCTAGTTGTGCTGTTGTTTACTTCCTCTTTCCAAAACCAGAAACATGCTGAGCCCGGCCTAGCATACTGCAAAATAAACTGCTTTAACGGTTTCATACTGCATACACTATATTCCATTGTATTCCATTAATTCTGCATTCACTGGTAGTATATAGTTTGCTGTTTGGAATACAGTTTGTTTCAGCCATAAAATTACAATTTGTGGTTTAATGGGTTGTAACAATTTTTTTCTATCCATTCATCCAGTGCTTCTGTGCACTGTGTCAGACATATATATAGTATGGTATGACCTTGACCCTGTTACAAACTGAACTTAACCAGTCTTTCTGCCGTCCCCACTCCTCTCAGACCAGCAGAACTTCAACGTCTCTGTGGAAAACATGTTGACCCGCTGCTTGGACAACGAGAGGAGCTGGCGTCTCCACAACAGGCTGGGGGATAACCAAGGCACACAGCTGCTTATCGAGGACAGCCTGCCCCTGGTCCCTGAAAAAAAAGCAGACACCCTGGTCTTCCCCTGCATCCTCAGCGCCCTCCGCTGGATAAGCCAGGGCAGGGACTCCGTGGTGGCGGACCCAGCCAAGACGGTCTTACCAGTTAAACCCAACATCATGGACAAAGCTGCTCCGCTCTGTGACGTGGCCGAGATCCACGTCCTCATCACCGGGAGCCTCCACCTGGTGGGAGGAGCACTCAAACACCTGGACCCAGCTTCCTCCAAGTAAAGGATCATGTGAAATTTAAATGAGTGAATTTAAATACAGTTTAATAATGGATGGGTGCTCTGCCTATATACACATTTACCTTTGTGGGAGAAAATCATTTCTGTCTGTATAGATGAGGCTTTTGTACTACTAGCTTTTTGGACTTTTAGGTCTTTACCTGAATGGGATTAGCTGCACGCAGGTACTGTTGTTGTCTTGGTAGCTTCACTACAGTGGCTGATGCTTGGAGCCAGCTAGTTTGGACCAAGATAGCTCCAGGCCTCAAAGCAGCCCCCAGCCTCACCCAGAGCCTTACAGACAGCCGCACAAACGTGTGGAGCTCTCGTCTTTAGTCTTAACTTGAAGCCAAATATGTTTACATGAACTGACGGAGGCTACATTCATGTACAGCACAATGTGCACCTAGTTGGCTAAACTGGAACTGCGCGTGCGCCTCAGTGTTCTCTGACGCCACCTGGATGAGGCAGAGTGGCGTCATTATATTACATTTATACAAAAACTGCAGATAAACGGGCACCAAAAAGTGCTGCTACATGGACTACATGGAGTTTTTTACTTACTTATTTGGAACCTTTTTAAATGAATGTCATTTTGAACAGTTTCTACTTCCAATTTGAAAAGTGCTTCATACACAAGGCCTATTCATCTTTGTTGTAGATGCAAATATTCTAACAATAGTGTTTGCATCAGAGGAATTCATGGAACTGTTAATCAAATTCTGTGTAATCTGTTTTACACTGGAAGTATTGTAATATTTAAATGCTCCTTAATTTAAATTAGCATTATATGACCGAATTACGTACAGTTCTTTGTATGTAAGTATATATGTTTATTTAATGGTAAACTGTATAAAATACATTTATCATCATGCTGGCATGCACCCCATTTATGCCTGGTATTAAAGTGCGATCTGTATCTGGCCACATTACTCGGATAATAAACAATCCGATCTTACCTTTGCGTTTAGACCTGGTATATTTAATGCATTTTTGTGATCCTCGCTGAGATCACGTCTGTCCTCCAGAGCAAAACCTGCGCGTGAGTAATGAGCAGGAGAAAATCTCCCTTAAAAACCATGGAGTTTGTGAGTTGCCGAGTTAGGAGAAACACGGTCTACAACAAATTTGTAATCATGCGTCCCCTTTTTGCAAATTCGGCAAATGTAACAAGTTGTTCCTTTCTTGGTAAAAATATTGTCATTTTCTCCTGGTCTGTTGCAGTACCACTGTGTACTAAGCTTCTCTGACTATATATATATATATATATATATATAAGCCTTGTTAACAGCAGATTAGCTGCAGGGATGAGTCACACGCAGTCATTACTCACTATGTCATTAATTTCCTCCGTACTGCTTCCATTTTCTGTGCAGTTCTGTTGAATCAGCCTTCTTGCTTACTCAGTCTAAATTTGAATAACCTGTAGTTTATGTTAAAAACAAATATCTGTATCAGTGATGTTGTGTACGGACTGCGTTTACACCTACATAAGATCTGAACACAATGCGAGGAGACTCCAGATGTGGTCAGGCAGATCCGATCACAACACATTTACACCCTGCATTAGCATGCCTTTGTCCTTATGTGGATAACATGTCCGGGTACAGATCACATTGTTGTAAATGGGGTCATGGTAACCCATCCAGTGAAGCTAACGGAGGTCATCAGCTCCACAGGTGGTTTCATACTGTAACCTCAAATTAGTTTGAAATTCCAGGTCAGTATTACCTGACTCCTGTGGAATGTTCCTGTCGAGCCAACAAGACACAAAATGCACTTAAAAGGAAGTTGTCACTTGTTGTAAGTAGTGAAGATGAAATCTGCTCACATATTAATTATAAGTCAATTAAAAAAGATAATTTTGTCTACCATTGTTTTGAATATTTCTTGGTCTCCTTTGGGAAACTCTTGCTCAGCAAAGATGGGAAATACTATCAAATAGTTGATCTAAACCAGTATGGATATTACTTGTATAAATTAAGTTAATAAGCTAACAATGTGTAGCATGTCTATATTTACAGTTTAAACACTTATATTTGTGTATGATCTATCTAAGCAGCTTATTACTAACACAGGCCGGTGACCTTGTGGGCTTTAAGAGGTTTTATACATACAAAGAACCTCTATAAAACCCAGACCAGGCCTCTATTTGGCATATGCTTTTTTTCTCAAAACATGTGGCCACACCAGGCTAGTAAAGGAGACCTGAGCTACAAACAGACATTAGGAAAGATATAGGACATTAATATGGCCATTGTGTTACTATACTATGTTTTTGTGAGTTTCTGTGGTTATGTGTGTATGTAATTTTATCTGTGCTTGTGTGTTTTCTCTTAATGTTTCTGATATGCCATCAACCTGCCATGGGCATTTTAGTGCTTGTTGTAATGACGTATTTGTAAATAAGGCTAGGGTGAGTTAGCATTAATCTTAAATGGACATAGAAAAACATTACTGATGCTAAAAGAAAAGTTAAAAAGAAAGTAATTTAGTATGAAAACAGATTTTTCATTTAACCAATATCCCGTATTATAAATACATGTCGCATTTGTATAAAATCTAAAATGTATTGCCCTGGTAACGAGAGTAAACACACAGCTAAAAAAGCTTTCAGTCAGCCTGCTGGCAGGGAGCAGGACGAGGACAAGGAAGCATCCAAAACTGAGGACAAAGTAGACCCTGATGATGATGATGATGATGATGGTGGTGGTGGTGATGATGATGATGATGATGAGGAGTCTGATTTATCTGACGGCTCCTCTGAGAGTGGGGAGGACGTGCAGTGTCTCTGACCACCACTGCTCCCCTACTCACAATGATGCTGCACTACTTCCCGGCCAGAGCTTCGGTCCCGTGGATCACACAGTACACCATCGCCTGTATCAGCACCATGAAGTCCACCTCCTGGCTCTGATTGGTTGTTTTCATTCTAGCCCAGCGGATTCATGCAAATACCATTAGGAGTGCTAGGAGGAGCCAGAGGAACCTGATTTTTGTTGTTCTACTGTCGGGACATAGTGAAAGTCTCAGCAAATATGACTATGATGCCTACTGCAGCTTTAAGGTTTTAGTAGTTGTCAAATATGTTTTAGAATCAGTATCTATAAAATTATAAAAGAAGGGTAATAGTTTTTGTGTGCCATGGGCTCACAAACAGTGGTCTGGCAATAATAAATCTACATCTGTGTATAAATTGTTTAGCTATAATAACCAAGTTATTGGACAGCATGATCCCTTTTATCCATTATAGGATATTATCCAAATGTAACATTATTCTAATCAGTTCTTTTCAGATGTCCACTTTTGAAAGGTTCATGTTTGTTTTATTAACAAATATTCTCTAAGTTTCAATATCAGCATCACAAAACATTGTTGTTTTTATCAGTGCTGAATCTTCTGTCCCATAAAGATATTACAGGGATAAAAAAAACTTTGACTTATCTCTCAGCATAACTACGAAAAAGGCGGAAAAAACGAGCAATACAGGAATGCCACATGGGCCACTCTCAGTGATACGTATGACGTAAGCGCGTACGGCAATGAAAACGTCCGTGACGTAGTATCTATAGGGCGCCGTACTGCTGGCGGCGAGTTTAAAGAGTCCCAGTCGGAGGCTTGCAGGGTAAACAGGCAGCGTATTGACGTCCACTCCTCTGCAGTATACATATTTCATGTCTAGTGGAAGAGATGCCCAGAGACAGGTACGCATCTTTTTATACACTCTGCTTATTTACCGAAAGTAGCTTTACGTGCGATACCGTCAATTTTCAACATGCCAGCCATGTGAAAACGAGCCAACGCTACCTGGTTAGTCCTTTCTGCCGTCTTCCAATTCAAGAAACATCTCATAGCATATTTTAATCGAATAAGAGACGTGTAACGTTAGTCGTATATTAAGTGTGTTTGTGAGCCGCCATTATGAGCATTTTCACTGTAAAACTGAAGCTAATAATAATCGATACCGCGCTTTCCTCTGAGCCAGGCCTCCATCCAGCTCTGTCTATGTGCTTCCTCCCTGGATTTATAAAATGTAAAATAGCTACAGAATATGACGATAAAAAGCCAGTGTAACTCCGCATGTATATTTCGCTTAAAATTGAAGTATTACATTTTCTTTTGTGGTCGGAATTTGCGCGGTCTCACCGCTGGAAGCTGCAGCAATATGGCGGGCAGACAGAGGTTGTTCTTCTGAGGAAGCTAGGTCGCTGCTAAGCACTCTCTCTCTCTGAGATGCTACTATACAAGTGCAGGATAAACTATTATGTAACCCCGCAAACATTTTTGAAAATGAAATATGATCATTTTCTTCTTCCACCCAGCATGCCACTGCAGGAACTGCCCTGCCTGAGTCTGGTTCAGGGCTCCATGTTGTCTCAGCCCAAGAGGATCAACAAACGCAAGTCCAGAGGCTGTCTCAGCGAGGGCCTGGACACTGAATGCACCCCGACAGAGCTCATCCAGCAGTGGTCACCGAGCCACAAGCACCAGCGGCTCATCAGCAAGGGGAAGGAGAATGACGGGGAACAGTTTGTCCTCGCCAGGAGATCGAGGAGGAAAAAAGAGCCCACATCAGGCAGGAACCAGCTTTCTGACTTCCTTTAAGCAGCTACAGTGTGTTTGTTGTAGCTATGATAAACTGTCATACTTTCCCCTCATTATTTCCCCCCGCAGGCATTTCATGGGATCAGCTACCTGACGAGCTGCTCCTCAGGATTCTCTTCTACCTCCCCCTGCAGGACCTCCTCAGGATGTCCGTAGTTTGCAAGCGCTGGCATCGCTTGGGGTGAGTCTCTGCCACTGTTCCTACATCCATACATGCTACAATACATGTATTCATTCCTTTCAACAATACAGTCTCCAAGCACCTTTTTATATGTTTTTACATAATCTGTTCACTGCACCTTATATTTTTACTTTGCACTACAATTATACCGCTTATTTATACATTTTTTATATTGCTTTTTTGATATGTCTAGGTTGTTCTCTTACTTCATTGTGTTGTTACTGTGTGTAATGCTGCTGCTACACTGCAATTTCACTGCAAGTATATATCTATCTATCTAACACTGCCACACTAAACGCCTATATCATCCTGAGTCTCCTGTTTTACCTGCAGGAGGTACCAGGTGCCTGATTATCTTTCAAACACATCTGCATTCAGTGAACCAAATGCAAATCAGACAGTGTGTTTCATGTGTACTTACAGGGCGACTGTTGAGTGGGCAGTCCTTCAGTGTGGCCCAGGGCACATTGCATAAACACTGCTAAAAGAATGTGGTCCAGACCACCTCCAAATGAGGTTTTAGCAATTGGCTGTGAATGCGTCGTGGGTACCTGTACTTAAAGCTGTCCGTTTGTGATCGGATCACAGGGTCTAAACACAGCCTCTTATTAAACCAGTGTTCCTTCTTCCCAGCTGTACTGCTTCCCATTCTCGTTGCATTTGCACCTAGTTTCTCTCATATACTCATTATTAATGCCTTTGCAGTCCCCTAAACTATTTATTAGTGTATATAGCTGCAGATTTCACTCTAAATCTCCCTGACGGAAAAGAACAGCACATACTAAACTGTGATAGGATGAAAGGGAGGTTTAGCCTTTGCACATTATTGAGACTTTACATATAGACTCTGACTGTATCCCACCCTGTCTGTGTGTCTGCCCCAGGTTTGATGAGTCTCTGTGGCGCAGTGTGGATCTGGAGGGGCTGACCCACATGGGTCCAGCTCTGCAGCAGGTGCTGAAGACCAGAGTCCGCAGGCTGCGCTGCCCACGCTCCTTCGTGGAAGAGCTGCATTTCATTGGCGAAGGGTGAGTCCAGCAGCTGCTGGTGATCAGTTCAGATTGAATTGGGTTCATTTCAGCCAGCTTCAACTTCTTGTTTAAAGAATAACTGCTGATATTCCACATTCTTATTGTCAACTCATCTCATGGGCAAACCCAAAAGCAGAAATGATGTAGTCCTTTTTTGTCTTTCCTGTCGTTCAGCCCACTGCATATAGTTGAGATGGATCTGTCCAGCTCCATCATCCCCACCTCGGCTCTGGAGAGCATCATCTGTCGCTGCAGGCTGCTGGAGTATCTGAGCCTGGAGGGTCTGCAGCTCTCAGACACTATCATCAAGTCAGTTCAATCTGCATCTCACTCATTCCAGCAAGCATTTAACTTTTAACTGTTTACATTAAAACTTGCTTAATACATATTTAAATCTATGTTCTAATCCAGTGTCTCAAACATTTTACACTGTGCTACCTCAGAAAACATCAGGCTCTCAATGTACCACCATTATGACCAACATTAAATACAACAGCGTAGGGTGACCATATTCAGCTATGAACAGTTCACAGAGGAGGCAGGTTTGTTCCCAACAAGATTATTTATTATTGTCTGTTGAATCCTAAACGGAACTAGTTCAAGAACTAGACTTCAGAAAAAAACTAAAACTAACTGAAACTATATTGCGCACTTACAAAACTAACTAAAAATTAAAGCTGCAAGCAGCGTTGGGCGGGACCTCGCACTCCATGCAACTCGGGGCGTGCTGCGGCCACATCACGTGCCGTCGTAACACGTGCGGACCACGACATGAAAATCTCATGTAAATCAGTTCAAGCGGTTGCTTCCTGTTGCCAGTAGGTGGCGCTATCACTGTCTGAATATTGTCATGTAGACGTGTTCAGGGCGGGACTCATCAAACGTGAAGTTTCATTGAGATTGGACCACGTACGCTGAAGTTATGAGGACGTGTTCAGGGCGAGACTGTTACAGAATATATGAAGTTTATTGGAGATTGGACATTGCACACTGAAGTTATGAGTGCTGTTTAATGGCAAATCTTCACTGGCACGTGGTTTGACGTACAGTCACAAATAGCTCAACTCTTCATCTACGGTTTGTTTTTATAATAATTTTGAAGTAGATTTGATAAGTCCCCTATTTATCTTGCAATTTAATACTTGACTTCCAACGGTTTCCTACAATACTCCGTAGGAAATATGGTTTGTAGATGTGGCTAGTGGGAGTGGAGGGGTGTTTGTGTTTTATCACTTCGAAAAAAAGACCACGGAATTCAAAATGGCCAACTTTGACGACACGGACACGCCCTTCAACGTTCAGTCAGAAAATGAACAGCGTTCATTCAGCACCATTGTTTGACTGTACTGACCAATTTTGAAACCGATCCGATAAATTCCCTAGGAGGAGTTCATCCAAATACAAGCCCAAAAAGTGAAAATGACCACAAGATGGCTGCCAAAAGTGAAAATTAAAATGAAAATAGCCGACTTCCTGTGGGTTTTGGGGCATGGGTCCAAGAAGCTTTTTTGTACGTCTCGGCACCTTACACATGCCTACCGAGTTTCATACATATCGGTGAAATGTGGTCCTGGGGCTGCTTTTTTAAAATCCTGTAGGGGGCGCTACAACCACGACAAACACGATTTTTGGTATGTGAGCTACAGGCACCAGTCTACACGTGTCCTGTGAATTTCATATTCATAACTATTACGGTCTCCGCACAGCTAATTATCTTCCACCAGAGCGCCACCCGGTGGCGTGATTTTTTTATTATATTTTATTTTTTCCTTTTTAGGGGAGCTTCAGGGAGCCATAGGCAATCATCCTACCAAGTTTCGTTCTAATCACACTTGCCGACAAAGAGATGTAAACGTTTGACTTTGAAAGAGCGCCACCTTGTGGCGGTGGCCTCAAATTGTTCAAGATTGTGCACGATACATAATGAAGACATAAGGACCTATTGACCCAAGGTTGGTGTCAATCCGACATACCAATGTGGAGAAATGCCCCACTTCCTTTTTTGACGAAAAATCAACAGGAAGTGCTAATTTTATAACTTGTTTATTTTAAGGTTTTTGAATGTGAGACAAATGATGCGGGAGTTATTAGCCTATCGAAATTTGCCTAAAAGTAGCACCACCTAGTGGCCTTCCTAGTGGTTGACCTGAATGTGACGCATAGAATATCAGATATCGCACCAGGCCCGACACCTTTTGCCAAATAAAATTCACGAAAAGTATACGTTCAGGGGGTCAAAAATGCAGTCAAGTGCTAAGAAGAATAAGAAACGGACCAAAGACAATAGGGACCTTCCAGTTGTCACTGGCTCGGTCCCTAATAATAAAAGTAATAAATATACAGTACATATACAATGTCTTTAGTTTTAGTCTTTGTCAAGTTGGTCAAATTTGTCAACGCAAGCCTGAGGAGGTGTTGGCACTGGAATGTCTATGTGAAGTGTTTGTATTGTCATACATGCATACATAAATACATAAATAAATAAGTAGTAACACTGAAACTAATAAACAATAAAAACTAAACTGAAATGAGCAAACCCACTCTGAAACTGAATTGAAAACAAAACATAAAATAAACTAATTAAAAATACAAAACTATTACTACAAAACGCTGTGGTCTTCTCTCAGTAAGTGATCTGCTGGATGGCATTTGATTCTTTTTGTCCTTTCTCTCTCTCAGCTCTCTGTCCAAGAACACAAATCTGCTGCAGCTCAACCTGAGCGGCTGCTCTGGTTTCTCTGCTCCCGCTCTGGCCGAGATGCTCCAGTCCTGCTCCAGGTCAGCTCCTCCGCCCGTTTCACCTGTAACCAATAACAGCAGCCTCCTCAACCTCTGCCATTTACCACTGCTGTGTTTCTTTCCCCCTGTGCAGGATAGAGCAGCTGAACGTATCATGGTGCGACTTCAACAATAATCATGTAAAGAGTGTTGTTGAGAATCTGAGCTGCAGCGTTGCTCACCTCAACCTCAGCGGTTACAGAGAGAGCCTCACGCTTGACGGTAAGTGAGTGACGCTGGTGCTGAATCACTTCATTATTCAGTGTGTTGGTGGGCTGAATATGAGTGTTGGTTCAGAATAGGGCCACTCTTTCTTTTGGTATCTGAAAGCCCAAACCATCTACTCTGTTCCAGGGTGTCCACAGGGTCTTTAAATATCCAGTACGTTGAATTCTAGGCCTTTTAAAATATCTTAAATATGATTTTGACAGGTATTCAAAAATTATTTGAATTATTTATGAAGGTAACGTTAATTATAAAGTTGCATTTCTGTCTCTTCTTAAATGTGTGGGGGGGTTTGTAAAATTGTATTGATCATGCGGTTACTACAAAACCGACGTGGAACAAATACTGATTTACCTTCAAATCCTATCAACTTTTTTTGCTGACCTGTTTATGTACCACAAAGTATTGTCTTAATCTATATCCCCCAGCTTGATCGTGTAGTGAGGGTAAACCACTGACAGTATATATAATGGAAAGGGCTTCCAGGTGTTAAAAAAATAAAAAATAAAATGTCTTTAAACCTGCATTCTATGTAACAACGCACCAAACTCAGATCAAACTGTCAAACTAAGCAGTGCTGATCAAATATGAATCAAGATTCTGTTACTGCATTGTCTATTTCTCTCCTCAAATCCATTTAGTTCTACTTTAGTCACCCAGAGCCCATTGTCTGCTTTAATCCATTTTCTCTGTTAATTGTATTTGATCAACTGTTTGCGGCTATTCCGCAGACCAGAGGAAGCCCCGTCATATCAAACACTCTTTATTGCAGCTCTGCTGAAATATCACAGATCAGTGTGTAACCAGTTTAACCTGCTGTTGTTGGACTCCTTTAGTCACACTTTGCTGCTCACCAACATCCAAATGATCCAACTGGAATAGTCTGGAGGACTTTCTGATGCAGGATGAACTTCTTATGTTTGATTTACAGACCTAAAGATCTGAGATGAGTGTACTGTATTTTTACAGATGTGAAGGAGCTGGTGACGAGATGCCCCCTTATTAAAACTCTAGATTTAAGGTAAGCTTGTTGTGAACACACTTTAACTTCACAGGGGGGACACATGTCAGATGTTGTGTTGTAAGTTTGTCGTACAGTATTCACCCTGGTTCCTCTGCGTCACAGTGACAGCACCCTGCTGATGGCCGACAGCTTCCCCGTCCTCAAACAGCTCAAGTATCTGCTGCACCTGTCCCTAAGCCGCTGCTACCACATTCACCTCGCTGCCCTCACGTAAGCCTCTCTGCTTCTGTTACATTTGGGTGATTGAGCTCAGAAGTCTAAAACTGAATTGTTGTCATATTTTTCAGTGACCTGGGTAACACGTTCCCCACGCTGTGCCTGCTGGACGTGTTTGGCGTCGTACAGAACAGCCACCTGCCCTCTCTGAAGAAGGAGATTCCTCACGTCTCCATCAACTCCAGGCCGTTCTCCAGCATCGCCCGGCCCACGCCCGCCAGCAGGCTCACCGGCTCCCTCAGCGACCGCACCATGTGGAACAGGAGGTGTCGACTGAGGTTCAAACTGTAACTGCCGCGCCTCCCTCTCGTGTTTTTAAGCTAAGTTAGTTTCTGTCGCCCAGTGTTTGATCCTGCAGTATTCCAACACGTACAGGGAGTCAGGCCCATTGTGCAGTGATGGAGCCACGTTTCAGAGTTTGTTGCTGCTACAGAAGATGCTTTTAGTGTAGGCTGACATTGACGGTGCTAAAGGTCACATACTGGACCAAGCCTTTAAAGTAGCAACCTCCAAGATTTTCATTTTAATGTCCGTTAAATCACTATCTCTGAATGAGGTAACACAATGGTGATATATTTGCAGTATTTCAAACTGGTGTCTGTGGCGATGTCCCCGGAAAAAAATGTATGCACACAGAAAATGGAACTAAGCACACGATTGACCCTTTTTATGGGTCATGGCATTTTAGGCTGCAACAATTGATTGTTAGAATCCGTAAACAGCCTGTAAAGTCCTGGAGGGACTGAGATATGCTATGTGCTCAGCTATGTTGGAAAGACAACCAAATTTTAAAGATGTTTAAAATATAAAGTTTCATACATATATATTCACATCTGAGCTAATGTTAACACAACTTTTGATTAGCTAGCTAATTCAGATTCATAGTTTGCTAGCGTATTGCTAGCATTAGCTATCAGATGTGACTAGGTAACTAACGATTAATGGAGATTGGCTAGTGTTTTGCTCTGTAGCTACGTTGCTAACGATTAATTTAGGTTAACTTTATGTGACTGTTGCTTTTATCTTTCAACCATCTTCAAAATGTGTCTTTTCAACATAGATTAGCCTAGCCTTGCTTAACTGTTATTAGGGCAAAGGGAAGAAAGGGGCAGAATTTAGGAAGGGTCCATTCTGAAAACTCCAGGCTGCTAATTTTCAAGCATAATTCCCCTTTTTTTTTTTTTACTCATAGAAATTCTAAAGCACGTTTTTGCAAAGGTCTAAAGACTTTGGAACGTCGTCACTGACTGCAAATGTATAAATATTTTAATACTTCACTCAGTTTAATTGAAAATCTTCCAGGTGCCACTTCAAGTACTGAACATGCTAGCTGGTAATGTAGAAATGTATTGCTTTATTTAGGAACGTCCCATTTGGATGTTGAATCCAGTTCTTTTTGGAATGTTGGAATGTGTTAACACAAACTTTATGTGGATTTTTGAATCTGTTTTAGGTTCTAATAATGTGTTAATTTAAAATACTTTGTATGGGAAAGATGGTTTAAAAGGCTCGACTGAAATGTTTATGAATATTTGTGACAATTGATTCCTTTGACATTTTAACAATACTGATGGCAGAAATGTGCTGTAATAATGAGAACAGCTGATTTTAATCCGTGAAGAGGTTTTAATGTGAAAGGATGTATCTGGATCTTGAATCGGAATAGCTGTGGGCGTTTCCTGTTGCTGAACACACTACGTTTATTAGCAGGTTATAATTCCTGTACATGAGACGTCTCTCCAGGCGCTTTTACGATGAGCTCATTATGTGTACGTGTGCTGTATGCTTGGTGCTCTGTTAAACGTTTCAATCAAATGTCATGCAGACTGAACTCTAATGGAACATGAGTTTTAACTTGTAGATTGTTCACTGTCCCTCCTGAGTCTGAAAGTAAACCACTGAATACACAAACTGTTCTTTGTGTCTGCTTGATTTTATAGGTTGAATTAGGTCCTGGATATTTGTCAGACACAATGTGAAGGTTAAGCACCAAAGTTAATTCTTGACCTTGTAACTAACAATTATTTTTATTATCGATGTTTCCCAAAGCCCAAGGAGATGTTGCATCTTTACTTTTCAGTTAACAGTAGTTTCAGTTGTACGGTAGCACATGAGACAGAATCTATTCAATTCAATTGTATTTGTATAGCACCAATTCATAACAGAAGTTATCTCAGGACACTTTTCAAATAGAGCAGGTCTAGACCGAACTCTTTAAGAGAGAGACTGACTGACTGTATTTCAACTACTGAGAAAAACTTAAATGTTACAAGCTTTGTTTTAATATTTTGTGTGGGTGTGGTGGGGAGAACAAGTATTTGATACACTTTTTTACACCGATTTTGCAGGTTTTCCCACTTACAAAGCATGTAGAGGTCTGTAATAATATCATAGGTACACTTCAACTGTGAGTGATGGAATCTAAAACAAAAATCCAGCAATGATTTTTAAATAATTCATTTGCATTTTATTGCATGACATAAGTATTTGATCACCTACCAGCCAGTAAGAATTCCTGCTCTCACAGACCTATTTGTTTTTCTATAAGAAGCCTCCCTGTTCTCCACTCATTACCTGTATTAACTGCACCTGTTTGAACTTGTTACCTGTATAAAAGACACCTGTCCACACACAGACTCCAACCTCTCCACAATGGCCAAGACCAGAGAGCTGTGTAAGGACATCAGGGACAAAATTGTAGACCTGCACAAGGCTGGGACGGGCTACAGGACAATAGGCAAGCAGCTTGGTGAGAAGGCAACAACTGTTGGCGCAATTATTAGAAAATGGAAGAAGTTCAAGATGATGGTCAATCTCCCTCGGCCTGGGAATCCATGCAAGATCTCACCTCGTGGGGCATCAATGATCATGAGGAAGGTGAGGGATCAGCCCAGAACTACACGGCAGGACCTGGTCAATGAGCTGAAGAGAGCTGGGACCACAGTCTCAAAGAAAACCATTAGTAACACACTACGCCGTCATGGATTACAATCCTGCAGCGCACACAAGGTCCCCCTGCTCAAGTCAGCACATGTCCAGGCCGGTCTGAAGTTTGCCAATGACCATCTGGATGATCCAGAGGAGGAATGGGAGAAGGTCATGTGGTCTGATGAGACAAAAATAGAGCTTTTTGGTCTAAACTCCACTCGCTGTGTTTGGAGGAAGAAGAAGGATGAGTATAACCCCAAGAACACCATCCCAACCGTGAAGCATGGAGGTGGAAACATCATTCTATCTACATTTATCTTTATTTCCACCTAACAAGCTACCCAGCGAGTCGCCATTTTGGAGTGACATCATTGCTTAAGTAGCTGGGTGGGTTGGTTTGTCGTGCAGTTGAATTTACGTTGGTTTGAAATTGGGCAAAGACGGAGTAGAGAGACCTGTTGAAGTCATGAAGTCATGAGTCAACTGGTGCACGCCTGTCCTACATGGGACCAGAGCAGTGGTGGCAGAAGAAGTCTGGACCATTAGTTGCTGGGTCACTCCTGCATTGCCATGGTGCAAACTTTCAGCATGCTATGCCAGGAGCTGGAGGTGAAACTAATGAAAACATACCTGCATAGGATGTCTGTCCTGTTTGAGCTGGTGACACCTATTTATTGGTGGTAATAGTAAATGTGATTTAATACTACAGGTCCCAGAATTCTTGGGGCAGTAAAACAAACTTTTATCGTTTTAATAACAAAGTCAGGCAATAAGCACAGTGAAAGGAGTTGGTTACCTCAGTGGTCTTCAAAGTGGGGTTCGGGGACCCCTGAATTAAAGACGTATCTCATGAGATGACAAAATGGTTTTCTTCCATTGCAAACGTGTAAATATTGGTATGCTTTCTCCTTAACGATGGAGCAGAGTCTTAAAAGACGCCTCCAGTAAACATCCTACCTTCTGCAGCAGGAAAGCAAAATGAGGATGATGACGGACCACAACAGAGCCGCAAAAGGATCAGGCTCTAGAATTCGGAGAAGAAACTGCAGGTGGAGCAGAGCTTGAGATTCAAGCATGAAAATGAACGGCTTTGCATAACAAAGACAAAGAGCAGCTCATCAAGGTCTCGTTGCAGCTAAGACACTCAGCGTCAGGCTGAACAGCTTCAGGTCGACTTCCTCAAGGGAGAACTGGAGGAAGTCAGGCTTGAGCTTGTGGAGCAAGTCTCCAAGGACCTGGAGCTGGTTGAAGGTCTGAAATTAGAAAAAGACCTTGACCTGGATTTGGAGGAGACAAACTTCCTACTGTTGGAGGTCTGTTGGAGCTTCTGGAGGAAGTAGAGAGGCAGCTGCAGGCTCAGGAGGAGGCCAATCTGGAGCTGGAGACAAAGATGGAGGTGCTCAGACAGCAAATGAAGCTCGGAAGCGGGCTGATCACGAAGGCCCACTGTCTGAATGATGTCACTGAGGTCGTCGGAGAAGCCGAGGCTCCAGAAGAAGTGAGGAAAAAAACAAAGAAGTCTTCCCTGCTGAGGTGGTTCAAAAAGTTCATTACTCCAAAACCCCACCACAAATACAACCTGACCTGTGAACCATAAACACACACAAGACAGACAAACCGTTAAAACACACACACACACACACACACACACACACCCTGGCTGTAACAGGCCGTAGTTTTCTCCCACAGACATAAATATATTCAACATTTAGATGTCGGAGATTGACCCTAATGATTCTATGAGGTCATGAGATTATCATAATCATCATAATAAATAAAAAGGTCCTTCGAGTCCCAGGAAGTGGGCCCAGATAGTGGACATAGAAATCAAGGCTCCGTTAAATAAGTGTGAGGAGTTAATAGCAATTTTCTATGGTGGCAACAGCATTCAAAAGGAGATCCCACCCAGACAGAAGATGAGGTGAACAACATCCAGATTGAGCTGTCCCATGACTCAACTTGTCCAGTGCAGGAAACACTGATGATCCCCTTGACAGAGGAGCAGTCCTTCTACCTTCAACAGCGGGAAAGCGAGATGAGGATGATTGCTGAATAAAACAGGGACGTCGACAGGACCAGGCTCCAGAGGAACGAGAAGAAACTGCAGGCGGAGCAGTGCCTGAGACTGAAGCATTAAAATGAGGGGCAGGAGGTTAGAGAGCAATTTTTTCTAAGCCTGGCCCTCAGAGCTGTTCCGCCTGATCCAACACGGTCTATGGCAAATTCTACCCATAAAACTGAACAAGAGCTTGAAAACGATGCAAGGTCTGGTTGCAGCTAAAGACAAACAGCTTGCGGAGCAAGTCTCCAGGGACCTGGACCTGGTTGAAGCTCTGAAATTAGAAAAAGAAGACCTTGATCAGGTGTTAGGAGAGACAAACGTCCTGCTGTTGAAGGTCTGCAAAGACCATTGACAGTATAATGAACAGAGCTTCTGGGTCTGAAGTTAAAACCTGCATTCTATGTATAGGCCTCCATTGGCTGCAAGAACACACTGATACCATTTACTCTAATGGAGAAATGTCCCGACTTCACACTTTATTTAGTAGCCCAGTAAACAGTCACCTAAAATCGTTTCAGAAACATATTTCAGCGTACTGTTTAACTGTACTGTACTGTCGTGTGGCACCATTGTTTACTGCTACGGACGAGTCAAAACTGTGCAGCCAATGAGAGCAGCTCAACTCGCAGTATGTCGCCTCCACTGGCTCCAACAAACTGTCGTGGCGATGACCATAATGCCAAACTCAAGGCTTTAAAATGGTTCTCCACAATCCAATGGGTGATGTCACTCCAAGTCCGAGCTGACCTGAGTTTTAGCAATTGTTTTATTTGGTAATCTAAGCATGTCTTTTCATGCCAATAAAGATCATTGACTGAAAAGTTGAAAATCCGCTGGTGCTTTTACAGTCACTAGAAGCACATTTATTTGTAAAAGTTTCTGTATGGTAAAGGTGTTGCAGCTAAACTAACAGCTGTGTTCTAGGTAACAGCTCAAAGAGGCTAAAGGTCTTCACATTAAGTCCGTATTTTTCGTGTCATCTGATTAAATTTGTTGATAGAAACATTGCATTGGGGTTTTTTTTTTTATTTATTGTGAAGTTTGTAAGATAGTTAGATAAGGATGATTTTGTGGTCTTCTCACTTGAAAGTAGAAAAAGAAAAAATAGATAAATACTAAGTAGAGGGTTAGAAAAAAAAACTAGTATAAACTTCTGTAAATGATGTGTCTCAATCAGCGTACACTGGACACAGCGGTTTAACACTCTACTGCCCTCCTCATTAACGCTGTTTTTTTTAATATATAAACGTCATGAAATAAAGTAGTCAGCATTGGCCTTACAAGGCTATATATATATATATAAAAAGCCCTCATCAATGGCACACAGATAACATGATTCACCATGGCAACAAGTGACAAAAAGCCTCGATCCTTCTCCCCAGTGGAGTTGGAAATATTAATGACCACCTATGCAGAAAGTGAGTATATATTTAAAAAAAAAAAGCAATACTGTGGCAGCAGCAAAAGAGCGGGAGCTCGCGTGGCAGAAAATTGCTGACTGAGTCAATGCGTGAGTATTAATTGGAGAAAAAAAGAAATGTTTTGTCTTGAATGTTCCACTTATTCAACAATTATATGAATAGATATCAATCTATTTTAAGGTGACTCAGAGTTTGAAAAATTGTGATGGGACCTGCACACTATTGTAAAAAAAAATTAAATCAGGTGGGGCACTTTTCTGGGTAATCATCAGCTGTCTAATCTTCATCTTCTACCAGTTACTGATGGTGTAATCTGTCTCTTGGAGCCTTCTTCCTCCATGCTGTTGTAAGTACTCTTAATGTTCCACAGATTTGTCATAATGGGTAGAATATAACACAATCATTGTGTTTCATTACAGGAGGATGATGAAGACACCTTATCAGCTGCCACAGAGAGGGAAGATGTAGAGAGGCCTGTTGAGGTTTACACCTTTTTTTTTTTTTTAAATAACTTTGGTTTCAGTTAATAGTGTTGTTCCACAATACAACTTGCAACTTCGTTCTCTCTAACAGAGAGAACAATGCTGGAAATTACAAAGAGGAAGAAGGTCCATCAACCTCCACAGCACAGCTTACCTCAGTAAGATGTTGCTCAGCATTGACCCACAACTTACAACTTACACTAAGTAGACGTGGTGCTGTGAAATTAAATGTAATTTATGTTCCTATAGCTCCCTGTGAAGCAACTCTACAAGGTATATTTACAATCACAAATCAACAAATCACATCTAGAAATGGAACATATAAGGCTGCAGATCACCAAGACAAAAATGGAAATACAACTGCTGGACCATCAGTTAAAGGTGGGTGACGTGCCCACAGGCGGATGATTTTTAATTGTTTCAACAACAAAGGATTAACAACTGTACAACATTTGTCCTTCTAGGAAATAAAGAAGACCTCATAATGAGAGGCATATTGTCGTTCTTTGACACTGGGGAGGTGATGGGTCAGTTAGAAATGATTGAAGCATATCATGTCTCTAACAGCTCTTCCATCTCGTGCATCAGCAGGGGGGTCAGGATTATTATCTGGATCATTGGGGGAAGAGTAGGACATTGTTCTCCTAATAGTGGCAATGTTGTGGAGAACCACACATGCCACTATAATGTCACAGAAAGGTCTGGAGTGACCCTGAGCCTACAAGGGCACTGGAACCGGGCCTTGAGTATCCCGATGGTCATCTCCACTCTGGCTCGTGTCCTGCAGTGAGCCAAGTTGTAGTGTTGCTGTGGGCCAGGCTCAGGGTCAGGGTAAGGGGTCAGCAGGTAACCATCGAACTCTCCTATGATAATACAAGATACAGTTTAATGTTTCAGTTGCAATAGGAGGAAACAAAATATTGATCATAGGATATAGCTCTATACTGTATATAAACTCACCACGGGGAAATCTGGCACTCAGTGTGCAGTCCCAGAACACTTTGCTTCCACATTGTTTACCATGTGATCTTCACAGTGTATAACAGTAATTAGCTGTATAGTGAAGTATATTTCATTTGGAATGTTAAAGGCAACTGTTTAGGCCTACCTGTACATTAATGCTGTGGACAGATCTCCCATTCACATAATCTCCTTCATTTATTGAAGGAGCTATGATAGGAATGTGAGTGCCATCTATGCAGCCAATCACACCTGGAAACCCTAAAATATATCAAATTGACTAGTTAGTGCTTCAAGTCTCAAAGCTTTATGACATAAATTAATTATTGCTTAGATTGATACCTGCAATTCTGTGGAACTCTTCTTTGAGAAGTCTGGTGGGTCTGTGACTTGGGAACAGTACAAACGTGTATAGTAGTCGTTTCAGGTGTCACATTTCGGACAGCCCGACAGACAGTTGCCTTGGAAACATGCTCTGTATCACCGATGTTATACAAAAAACTGCCGTTGGCAAAAAAGACGCAGTGCAATACAAAGAATGTGCTCGGAACTGAGAGCGTGTCCATGATGTGTCATGTGAACGATGTGAGGGCTGAGAATGCTGTTTAGATAAATTATTAATGATGCAGACAGGTACTCATCAGGGAATAATAAAACTTCCAATCGGGCTCTAATAATCCTCTCCCGACGTTTCTGCGGAGTATCTGCGCCTCGACACCAACTGGCTCTTCAAGAAAAGGACACGTCATGTCTGCCACTGCCTTCAGTCTGCAGGCTTCAACTTAAGAGCAGGAGAAACTCAGGGTTAGTTGAAGAAAACCTGCCAGCGAGCAGGTTAGGTTCACAGAGTATGTTGCCAGTTCAGAGTTAAGCTGAACTGGCTTTGTGAAACCGAAAAACCAGAGTTTCCCTCATCTCAGGGTTAACTAACTCAGAGTTTTCACTAAACCTGCTTTCTGAAACGGGCCCCCAATAGCAATAGTAACCCTGGTTTGGTAGCAAACAACTTCACTTCTCAAATGGGCAACAACTTTACTCTTCCACAAATCAGTAGACAATAAATCTGGTGCTAATAATAGTCCGCCCCAGTTTGCTCCGTTGTCGCTCCCTTTCACTGAGTTGTGGTTTTTGACTCCAAGTTGTGGCTTTTGGATTCGTGTTGTAGCTTTTTCCCATTCACTGATACTAGGGCCACTGTAATTTTCAACCCAAGAAATTTCATAAGTTTGGTGATGATGTTAATATTGCATTGATGTGTTTCACAGTGCAATCATATAGTTCAGTTTACAGCTTTAAAAAAAACATGTTTTAGGATTGAGTACCACTGGAGACACAATGAGCACAGTGTAAAACTGGCAAAATCTTGAATTAAGTCAGAAACCAATTGAACAAAGAATAAACAAACAATGCAAAGACTATATACATGTATTTTTTTAAGCTTCATATGAGTATGATACGTTTCCATAAAACTTATCAATCCTTTAACTATACTCTTAAAATTATTTGAATCTTGAAGATTTAACAGGAAACAGTCTGCCAGGAAATGCTCCCCCTGCTGTCTCTCACAAGGAAAGTGTGACATCCATGAAACTAACACCACTTATAAGAATCTGTCCTCTAACTATACACAAATCCCATTATAAATATCCATGAAAAACATGAATTCGTATTTAATATTCGATCAGTCGAAATAGGTTGGTTCATGCTTATTGTAAGCATGTCACATTTGGGTTTAAAGGAAGAAGAAAAGTATTGGATTTTGATACCAAAGGTATGATTTTTTTGGGCATATTGGTTGGTTGAATAAGAAAAGATTAATTCATTCTAAATTCCTGTATGAATAGTGCAGTATTTTAATTTATGGCAAATATAATAAAATGTACACTGGTAGTGAACAGTCAATATTAAATAAGCCTATAAAATAAATAAATAAATAAATGAGGCAATAAATACGTAAATATAAATACATAAATAAGTCAAAATAGTTAAGTAAATTATTAAGTATATAAGTATTTATTTTTAAGAACACTTTTATCTATGTCATCGTCTTTTTTAGTTTTTAAACAGATTCGTCCCTGTCCTCTCCTGACCAAAACCTGACCTGTCCTGAGGGCCCCACCTACGTTGTCTGCGGCACTTGTAAGTGGTAATGGTAAATGGAACAAGCGCCTTTCTAGTCTTCTGACCACTCAAAGCGCTTTTACACTTCATATGCCAGTTTCACCCTTTCACACAGTAATGTCCATCATCGGAAAATAAGTTATTCATGCACATTCAGACACCGATGATGCAGCATCGGGAGCAATTTGGTTAGTCAGTAGGTTAGTCAGTATCTTGTTCAAGGATACTTCGACATGCAGCCGGAGGAGCTGGGGATCGAACAGACAGGGTTCCATTCAGAGGCAGAAGAAATTTCCCTTTTGCCGGTGTTGCCTTGCTGGACTGTCGCTAAAAACCTGAAGTGTGCTGACTTGAGGGTGTCTTGCGTTTACTGCCTTTAGAATGGGATCAAGGTTTGCAGACTGGGCCGCTGGTGTGAGCCTCAACAATGGATTTCTTCACTGTACTTCACTGCCTTAAGGTTATGTGAATGCTATTTTATTATGCGATTGTATAGTGTTGTGATAGCATCACAACCACGATGAAGTCATGAAACTTTACATTTGTGTTGTTGTGGCCGAGTTCCAACATGGGTGTGGTCCGACTTGTGACTACTGAGTACTCATGGGTCGGAATGTCAACATGTTGATGGCACTGCGTCTTATGTTATCCCATTTCAAGATGTTAAACGGACTGAACTTGAATAGCACCTTTTTAGTCTTCCGACCACTCAAAGCACTTTTACACTACATGCCACATTCATCCATTCATACACCGATGGCACAGCATCAGGAACAATTTGGGGTTCAGTATCTTAGGGACTATCTCCAGGAGTCAAAAATACATTATACAGACAGTATGGTATAAATGTTGCTAAAAATATCAGCCAAACTCAACTCGGATCAATATTCACAGGAAATAATCTGCTCAAAACTACTTCCTTTCCATCAGACGAACAGTCCCAAAGAAAACTCTTAACAACCCTCTGCATGGTCAGATACACTAGAGCCAAGGTGAACTGTTCTTTGGTTTGTAATTTGGGTGAACTGACCCTTAAGCCTGATCCTTTCTGTCTCCACACTCCCACTCATCCATTACCTACGGAGGGTACCCCCTGGACCGGTCGCCAGTAAACCACCTGCATGTCTTTGTCCAAAGGTGACAGACAGACAGTTAACAGTACATTGTAATCTATATAGTGGAGAGGACAATAAAGCAGTAACGAGTTTAAATAAGCACACAAAAGCATTTCTTTTTCATACCACTTTATCTGATTCAAAAACAAAACACACCCCAACATACTGACAGTATTTTCCCGAGGAACCCTGCCTTTGGCACGCTGCATGTTACAATTTCCTGATCATTTCGTAAACGAATCCTCAAAAAGATCACCTCCTGCTTCCGAGTCCAGGGCAGGGAGGTGTTACAAGGTGCACCAACAATGTTTTTCCGATCAAGTGGAATTACAAGTGAACACAAGAGACCTTCTAGATTTCTATTAAATATTGAAAATCCTTACGACTACATACTCTCAATCATTTCAGCATCACAAAACAGCATGGTTCAAGCATTTACTATCAAGTGGCTTTACTGGTTTAAAATCATTTGTTTGTATGACTCTATATCACAAAAGGTTTTTGTTGTGGAAATATTCGTCATTTGTCTCAGGCACAGGCTGCTGATTCAGTAGCACTTCCAAAACCCTATTTTCCTGTCTTGTGAAAGGTTACAAGACAGATTTTTGACCTAAATATGGAGCAAAATGCTCCTTTAATAAAGGCAGAATGAGTAGGATTAACTATGTATAGACTCATACAAAAAGAATCCCTCTTTATCATCACTTCACTAGTGTGTGTCTGTATCTGCAGAGATCTGCAGCCCTCTGCCTTTGTTGTCTTATCTTGCTATGTTCAGGACATTTCTGGGGGGTCAAACTTTGGGCATCATGCAGGATGTGATGTTGGGACTATCGTAGCTAGTGACAGTCAGTGTGTCCGTTTGACTGAGGGCGGGACTGAGCTACACACACGCTGAGCAGAAGAATAAAGCGCGGCTTTGACTGAATTCACACACAATCCAGCAATGTGGCTCTTTCCCGCAGGGTTGTGCGGAGGTGTGGCCATGTTGCTTTAGAACGTAACTGCTATGAAACAATTAGAAAAAATAACCCCTTTCTCTAATTCACCTTGCTTTTATTCTTGCTCATGCTCTCATTGAGCCGCAGAGGAGGGGCCCACTTTAGCAACCACCAAATCCTACTCATTCTGCCCTTTAAGAATGGAGTTCTCTTTTTAGTGGCTCAAAGAGCTAGAAAAAATATAAGCTATGTTCCAAAAATACCTTTAGTCAACAAATATGCCTTAACAAACAGCCACTTTGCTTATAGTTCACCATTTAGACACACTTTCATATACTTTCAGTACAAATTAGACATTTGAAAGGATAAGTCTGGTGATATTCTATAGTTTTCTTATTGTCAACATGGGTGCAGACCCAAACCAACTAACAAGTCTGATTTATCTTCTTCCTCTGTGCCATAGATCTCCACTGTTGTCCATAAAAACTCATCAGTGAGCCGCACTGTTGTGTTCATTAGCACGCGCGCACACACACACAATACTCACTAGAGCACCAAATGTGGATTAATCCGCCACTGAATATAGTCCCCTACAAACACCACTTCCAACTGTTTGAGTAACGTTTCATAAAAACTATGAGGGATAAGGTTTCAGGGAATAACTGAGCCTTATTAACAAAAAAACTTAACTATATACTTAACAAACCAGATTTGCACCTTCAGGAAGCAATGGGCTTGGAGCTGAGAGCCACAGACAGGCTAAGGAAGTGAAAAAGTAGCTGACTATTGGGGATTTGTTGACAATAATTTAAAAGAATAGAATATCTTACATTTTCATCCTTTAAAAATCATTAACCAATGGATACACAGGTGTGAAAGCACATTACAATGTCTGTTTGCATCTGACCCCCAAATAGACATGGATAATCATCAAGGCGAGGCGTCAGTTTTATTGACAGGATAAGTCACTGTTCCAACCAGAATGGACCGACATCTACTCAGAAATAGACACAGATTTAAACATTTGATTTGATTTCTAGTAACACAATCCTCATACCTGATCTTTCACCTCTTTCCCTGCTTACAGACTCACTGTTGATTTGACGCAATGAAAAACAGGTTCACATGTTGTTTGACACAGTATCTACAAATTGGATTATAGCCAGTACAACCCAGCAGATTCTAACCTGTTTTAACCTGTGGATAGGGCTGCACAATTACTGGAATATAGTGATCACGATTTTGGCTTCCCACAAATAAATAAACATGATAGACTGCAATACTGATGTTTAAAATGTGTGATCCTGGGAAACCCAGCTGCATATTAAAGCAAACGCTTGCTAAGCTAAACAGCCAGCCCACCAGGGGTGATCGCTTCTGGGGAGCTGTCATGTCACAGTATGCAATAATTTCCTGGATGTTGCGGCTGCAGTGCAGAGTAGAGGAGTACCGGTAATATACAACCGAAAGCAGACAGCCAAAACGAAATTCAAATGTCTGGAGCAGAAGGCGAAAAGGATCATGGCGGTTGGAAGTATTTGGGATTTGGTGCAAGTGATGTGAAGCAAGTACATTATATCCAAAGAGTGCATTCAACCACCCGAAAAAACACTACAAGCTGCAGCACAATGAAGGTCAAGACAAATAAATTTGCTAACGTTACCGCACTGAGTCACCGGCCTTGTCTAGCGTCAACTCAGATATCCATAACACAGACGCCACACAGTGTGTCACCGTATCCATCCAGTGAGACTGAAGGCAGTGCTCTGTTGATTTAATTTTGGTTAATAAGTTTTGGAACCTGTCTTATTTTGATGCATATAGCACATGGAAATGAAAGCAGTGCTTTGTTCATTACAAAGTGCAATAAACATATTTTGTCCCTAGAATCAATGAGTAACTAACTTTTTGTGCAGCCCTACCTGTTGATAATAAAGATTAAAAATCAAAAGAAAAAAAGTCTGATTTGGAAATAAATGCACAATGCACACATTTAATATCACATTAGTAACAATCATACCTTTTCTTCCAGGTATAAAAATATTCAACACTTTTAGAGGCTATAAGCTAAAAACTGGTTCTTCCCTTTGACCACATCCATTTGAACACCGGAGAGAAAGCAGTTGAGTGTCGTCGTGCTCTGGACTCATCTCAGTTTTCGAGGAGGACTGTCCTGAGCTGATCCTCCTCGCTCATGCTGACTGTAGCGATGGCACCATCGTTGAACTCGAACGAGGTCCCGCCGTCGACCACCATGCAGGCGTCCCAACACCGGGAGCGGACACACACCCTGAGGCAGCAGAGGCATCACAGCGTTCAAAAAAGTACAGTACATCTTTACAGCGTGAACAATTATTAAGCTTTTTGTTCTGAGACTGAGGAACGCTCACTGACTTGCTGGCGAAGCCTCTCTGCCGACTGCTGGAGAAGACTCTGTTGACGATGGGCTCCCTGATGCTGTAGAACAAACGCCTGTCGTCTGGACTGAACACCAGAGACTCGTTGTATTCATCAGTAACTGAAAACGCATGCACACACACACACACACACACACACACACACACACACACACACACACACACACACACACACACACACACACACACACACACACACACACACACACACACACACACACACACAAACACAGACACCATCTTCAAATAAAACTAATGTGTAAAAATGTACAACAGCAAAAACAGGAGGATTATCACTCACCTTTTTCAATGAAGTCACGATTCAGTGGGATGTCGAGACCTGTTTGGGACTTTCCTGAAGAAAGACACGTTTGTCAGTAAAGTCAGGTGACATATTTGGTTTACTTAAGTGTATTGCATTCACTGGAGAGAGAAAAGTGTTTGGCCTGTTTTTTCTGAATCAACAAGATTATTATCTCAGAATTTGGAGAAAGGTTTTCACAAAGAAAAGAATTAGTGCTGTCAAACGATTACAATATTTAATCGCGATTAATCGCATTAATGTCATAGTTAACTCGCAATTAATCGCACATTTTTATCTATTCTAAATGTCCCTTGATTTCTTTTTGTCCCATTATTTTTTCTCATTTTAATGCGTAATCTTATCAACAGGGAAAAGTGGATCAGCTTGCTTTGTGCAAACATTGGCATATACTGTAGTGTTCAATTTCACACTAACACTCAAAACGTAATGTCTACTACTCTTAAACAAGTGTGTGCGGCATGTCTGTTGTTTTGTTTCCGGTCTAGATCCCGTGTGGTGTTGTAGTTTTTCTAACATTGCTAGTTGTTGCAACAGCATGTGAAAAAAACTACAAAGTGTGCTAGGCCAAAATGAACGTTAATTTTGCGATAAAAACATTGACGCCGTTAAAATGGGTTTGCGTTAACGTTGTTAATAACGCGTTTAACTGACAGCACTAAAAAAATATATATTTTTTTTCAATTAAGGAAATACCTCCAGCAGGATCTCCAAGCCCAGGCAGGGACCATAGCCCTCTAAGCCTGACCCAAAGACCCTAACACTCACTGCAGCCTGAGAAAGCCTTGAGCCATCTCCAAATTCCAAAGCCTTGCTGGCTGGCTGGAGAGAGAGAGCTGAGGGCTAGAGAGTAACTTGTTAATTCAGAAAAACCGAATGGGATTTTTTTTAAATGAATACTTTTCTCTGAATTTTGAAATAATACCCTCCTTAATTAAAAAAACACAACAAAACAAAAGAGGCCACACATTTTTTTCTCAAGTGAATGCGTAATGCTTCTGTACCTGCACATACACGTACCGATTTTGAGAACCTCTTCCACAGCTTGTTCAACAAGTTTGTTAATGTTATATGACCTGTGGACACCAAGAGAGAAGAACAATCATAGAGCAGACAAGCGGATTACTAGACGATTTATATATACTTATATATATTATATATACTATGTACTGGTGAATGGGCACTGATTTTGAACAAAATACCAGTACATATAGCTCGGCTCAGTAGTAAAATATAGTTGCTTAATTCCAGTTAGGATGTGGAAATCATCATCATTAGTTTAATATAAATAAATATACATAATGTTAAATAATAACTTCTCATAGCTTTGCAACACCCACAAGGTGTGATAGAATACATGAATGATTTGTGGTCTAATGGCAGATACAGCTTCTTCCAGAAACATTAATGTTATGTTCTAATAATCAGACCAAAGAGTTTGCTCCCTATGTATGCCTTTATGTTTCATTTGTAAAGCAACTGAAACTTTGTTGGTGAATCAAGGATTTATTTCCACCAATCCAGAGTTGGTGGTGATTGAAAGACTAAAAAAAAAAAAAAGACTGTTTTGATGAGTTTTATTTTGTTTCTGTCGACTTTGAATTTAATTATGATGTTACTATCTGTGTTTTTGTCAATGGAGTCTGGTGATGAGTATCAGCTGTTTAAATAAAATGGATCTTACTCTCTAACAATAAGGTCAATCTCTGTAGGGATCCTTTCCATGAAGTTGTCAGACACTAACAATCGTAGCCTGTCAGTTTGAGCAGTGTTAAATTTACCAGGCTTTGGATCCTGTTCCTGTGCAAATGCTGAGTCCTGAACTTTTCTGCTTTTCCCATGGGCCATCATCCACAGAGATCTCATAGTAGGAAGCCCTATGGAGCAAGAGGTTAACAAGGGGTGTGAAGGATTTTAACTTCATCCTGTGGTGGACAGAAATTCCCCTGATGAGTGCCGGAGAGATGAGCACACGGTGGTGGTGAAGGGACTAGGGATGAATGAGGGTTACAACACAAACATACAACATACACACACAAACACGGATACACCATGTTTAGATGGAGTTACATGCCATCAGTTAGGATGACAGAGTTACCTGGAGGACAGAGATTCTCCGATGAAGATTTCATTCAGGCTTCTGATGGGGAGAAGACTAGGCTTGGAGAAGCTCTCATGTAGGGTTCCTGTCCCTGAGAAATCAGAAACCACTGAATTAATAGTAGAACAGTGGGAGAACATAAAAAAACACCAACTTACACAACGATCAAGTAGCTCATAGAGGTCACCATCAACCCTAAACTACACATTTCCTCTTGTGCACAATAAACAGCAAGTCAGACAGAAAGACACAGACGGACGGACGGAGTGGGACAGGTACACAAGAAGGGTGGTGGAGTCGTACTCCGCTGGATGTCCCTGGTGGTGATTCGGTGTGCTTGACTGTGCTGCTCCAGGCTCAGCTGCTGCTCATGCAGGTCCACGGGGGTGGGGTTGATTCCTGTGCCCTCCAAGTGCAGGCGGATCCTCTGACGCCAAAGCCACCTGAACCCAGTACGGCAGAGGTGAGGGGACAAGATCTTAGGCTTTAACTAAACCAGCTGGCCATGTTTTAAATACTGTACAGCTTTATTCTGAAGCCTATCGTGAATGCAGTGAATTTCTGTCAATAGAACAATCAAGTGTAAATTATTAACTAACTCATTTATTGTGCTTAGGAGTAACTAACGTTTAAAAACGGTACACCAGTAATTTATTATGGCAATTTCAGGAAGTTAGAAGACTCACGAGACAAGAGACAGATTTGTAAAAAGAAACAGAAGCGAGAGAGAGAGATATCCTGACTTTTAGTCTGTAGTATAAGTCACACCTCAGTTTGTAATACTGGCTTTTCCATTAAAGTCCATAGCCTCCGAGCAAACACTGAGATCATCAGAGTTTTTGATTTCAGTGTGCACTGTATTATCTAAACAAGTACAAGTATCGGACCTCTGTATTGGAAGATAATCAATATTAAGAGACTCAGATCGGAACAGCCCTAGTATTTTCATATCGACTTCCATATATTTTGCACTTTTATCTGTTTTAAATTCAAGAATTTGTTCTTTTATTGGCATTTTATCTGCTTTATATGAGATCACCGCTTATAACTGCATCTTATTTGTGGTTATCTCCTTTACTTAAATGTCAGTCATTTTATATGAACTTATTTCTTTTATTTTGTACTTTCATCTGTTTATGTTTGTATTTTTATTATTATACAATTTTACTTAATGTGTGGAGTGCCCCTTTGGCCACCAGAGGGAAGAAGAACTCCACAGTTAGCTGGCAGACACACAGCCCTGACATGTTATCAGCTAATAATGTTGGTGTGTCGTGTTGCATGCTCTACTTTTAACTAACACAAGAATCATATCAGCTCTGTTTAGCCTCTCTTTACTAGTCAGTTTTAGAATTGATTTTACTGACAACCTTTAAACTACTTCATGCTTCAGCTCCCTGCTAGATTTATTCATTTCTGCACCTCTATGAGCCACATATAGATATAAATGAAGTTTATTCAAGTATTCATTATTATATCAGTAGTAGTAGTATCAGTAGCAGTAGTAGTAGTAGTAGTAGTAGTAGTAGTAGTAGTAGTAGTAGTAGTAGTAGTAGTAGTAGTAGTAGAGCTGCCTCCTGCTGCTGGAAAGAAGGTCGCTGAGACTGAACCAAGCAATAAGTACACCATAAAACAAATAAATAATCTAAAAGAGGCTAGAAGCTCCGTTGAGAGTGTTTCTTTGTGACTGCTATTCTTCAATTCACGTGACTCAATCATTTGGTTTACGTGTTTACTAAAAAACTTCAACGGATACAGGTTGTCTTTGCGTGTTGGACTAGCATCAGTATATTATCCTCGCTCTGTTTTTAACATGTTTGAGGCTGACGCAGTTTAAATCCCGGTCAGTCCAGTAGCGTAATAGGGACCTTCTTAATTTTTAAGGGGTATTAGAAAACAAACAAAAAAAGAGATAAATAAATACAAGTAGGCCTATATCTCAGCATTTCATTCATTTTTGTGAAGAAAACTAAACATATTTAAGATATAAACAGGATAAGGACAGGGTGAAGACTGAACACAAGCTATATCCACAGAGCCTTCACTCTCTGTTAAACAGCCTCGTCCTGCATTAGAACAGTTAAAAGAACCAAACAGCTTATAGAACAATCAGAAGAAAACAATATATATATATATATATATATATATATATATATATATATATATATATATATATATATATATATATCTCAAAACATGATACAGACAGAATTGTATAAAAATATCAGGAAAACTCATCTCTGATCAATATTAACAGGAAATAATTGCTCAAATTTCATCCAAATCTTTGTTGTTTGGGTTCATTGTACAGTTCACCAGTGGTTCTCTATTGTTATTGTTATTATTGAATATAATATGAAATATCCATAAAATATGTCAGTCAGTTTGCTCAATGACAGAAAAGGTTCCCTAAAGGAAAAAGGTTAGTAACCACTGACTTGTATGCATCAGTGCCACAATATCATATTTGATCCACACCTATGTGAGAGTTGTTCTTATAACTGCATACATAACGAAATGTATTTATTTTTTAGAAACAGCAACATAAATTGAATGTGAATGTGTATGAATGAGTTAGTTTCTGTTTGATGGACTTTGCCATCACTGAGTGAATGTGTGTGAAAGGGTGAATGTGGCATGTAGTGTAAAAGCGCTTTGAGTGGTCGGAAGACTAGAAAGGTGCTATACAAGTACAGGTCCATTTACCATAAATTAGGTTAAAAAACTTGATTAGTTCAAATGCTTTAGAAACAGTTTTATGTAACCTATTCCTCTCAAATGTATCCAGGTATTAACCTAAACTGAAAATCCCTGCATTGATTCTTACTGGGGAGTTTGAACTTGTACCTCAATGAACAGCCTTAGCAGCAGGTTTGGATAAATCTCCCATAAAGATATAGCAGTGATTTCTTTAAGGCACGGTAACTGGATTTGGGCTATTTAGGCTAGTCTGAGGAGACAACAGTGGGTTTTAGACACCATGTGACTTTGTCCAGACAACACAGGTTTAAACTTGTCTTGAACTCTGAGCTACTGGCACAGCAATGGCCACTGAGTGTTCCACCAACTTACAGACAGCAACATTACTATCATATATTTCTGGTAGTAGTTTACAAGGAAGGTTTATAGGCAGGTTTCTACAGGTTACATTTAACACTTTAAGACCTATTTTACATGCATACTGGCAAAAAAGTACAAAGGTTATGAAGGAAAATCAGTATTGGTTCTATGTTGGTTTGGTTTTGTAGTTACAGCATGATTAACACACATTTTTGTCAAAAACACATTTAAACAGACTGAAAACTGCAACTTTATACAATTAACCTTAACTTCATTAATCCAATACATTCTTAAGACCTGTCAAAACCATATTTAAGCCTGGATTTTAGACTCCTTAAGACCCTGTGGGCGCTAGGCTAGATGTGATGTGCTAGAAAACTGTGCAATATTGCAATATTGCGCTGGACAAATATTGAAGTGCTAGCTATACAGTTCTATCAATCAGTCTGGTTGTCTTTAAATTGAGAGCAGAATTAGAATACAATAGATTAGATATTTTAAATAAAACTAGATGTTGTTTCTAGAGCAGCACCTCTAATCTTTACCTCAATAATATCTGAAATGTCAATAAAAGAAATCCTGATATAACAATACTGAGTGATGTTTAGAGTATCAGTATCATCATTCATCCTGTTATCCTGCAGGTAACGTTTAGCAAGATCAGGCTGGTCCGTCTCAGCCAGCAGCTCAGTTTAAAATAAGGATTTACCAAACTTTAAGATATATGACTAACTGAACTTTTAGCTTAAAACAACTGACTTTTAGCCGAGCTAGCGTGGACAGGGCAGATGTTGCTTGTGTTACATGTTAATGCTGGTTAAACAGGTGTGGTGATAAAGTGCTGGCTTTTTACTCGTGAAGGTTTGCACCAACGCACAACCAATGCGGAGTCACTAGAACCGATACTACAAGCTGCAATAATTACAGACTGTGTCACAGTTCCATAATGAACTGAAAATATGTTTACGTTTACGCTTCCCTCTAACATTGTGGCAAAACATCCCTCACAACCAGCACAAGTATCCACCATCGATCAATGAGTGGACAATCTCCCCTCGCTCTAACCCTCCTGTAGTGACAGTCACACTGCTCTGCTCAGCCACTGTCTGTGTGAGAGACAGACCAGAATGGGGGGGTGGTGTGTGTGTAGAAAAGAGTACTGACAGGAAATGCAAGATTAAAATAGTTTGTAAGTTAAATAGTGAATTAAGTAAATAAGAAAACAATTTATTACAACAGAGGCCACTGTTATATTTCCTAATGTTTTTAATAAGGTTATTTGATTGTCATTTACAACACAGGGTTGTAGAATGAATTTAGATATAATTCCCTTTATGCTACTTTTCAAAACAAAATAAAAATTGATTAACGTCAAAAATAAATGAATTACTAATTTGTATGACGACATGTTGAGAGTATAAGAGTATATACAAGGAGTACTAAATACAAGGAGTGCATGTGGGGATTAATTAATTGTTTTGTTTTTATCGTATAACGTGGTATCAAACTGGGGATTAAGAATCGTGGAATTTCACTGGGCTCAGCCCCGACAGAGAGAAGAGGGGAGAGGCTGCAGTGTGCTAAGTAATACAGCCTTGAGACAGAGGCTCTCACTCTCACTGGAAAAAGATTATAGAAGTTAAGTAACAGAGCACCCACAGGGGGACAGGATGTTTATCAGAAGGAAGTCCAGCACAACAACACTCAGGTTGGGTAAATACGCACCTGAACTCACCACGACAGAGTTTCTCCAGGGCCTCTGGGAAGGCACGAGTGTACCGCACAGGCAGGCACAGATGGCCTTCTGACCTTTATTTGACAGAGAGAAATGTAATGAACTGAATAGAAGAGGACTGTTAGATAGCAACAACGTGGAGTACTGACATTATATGTTACGCTTACTCGAGTGCTTATGGAGTATCTTCCTGAGGAGTTTTTTTTTTCTTTTCAAAGAGTCTAACTATTCTCCACACATGTATCTAAGCCCTTCCCCAAAAGTGCTGTTCAGTGATTTACCTCTCAGGGTCCGTGTTTACTCCAACAACTGGTTTGTCCTTGCTTAAAACCTTACTGGCAACAAGTAGCATTGTCCCATCGCCTAACAAAACAAACTGCAGTTAGAGAACTTGTATTGTGTGTTTGAAGCCTTTGTTCATGTGACTTTTTGCCCCCTGGGTTGAATAAGTTAAAGTCCTGCCCATTCTGTACATCATCATGCCTGGACACAAAAGTCAGCGTTCAAGGAAGATTCTTTTATCCAGAGTTCTTTTAGTCAAACAGATAGTAGAGACATGACCTATATACTGTATTTGTAATTAATCAGTGTCTCAGGGGTTGGAGCAAGGCTGCAACTATGATGATGATTCTCTTCATTTTCAATTAATCGTTGAGTCAATAAAATGTAAAAAAATAAAATAAAAAAAAAAAAAAGGAAAGAAAAACAATCTACAAGAGCCCAAAGTGAAGTCTTCAAATTGCTTCTTTTGTTAAAAACCCAAAGACTCACATTTCAGAAGCTGGAACCAGCAAATGTTTGACACAGGGGTTGGAGTGAAAAAACAAAAAAACAGCTAAACTAAATCATCTAAAACCCCTACCTCCAGCAGAGATGATGGTGTCCGCCCATCGCACCACTTCTTCATCGTACTCTCCTCTCTTCACCACTCGCACATCGATGCCCTCTCTCCTGCAAACACAGAAACATAAAACTTATCTTTATAAACAGCTTCCCGGCTGTAAAACCTTCCCCGTCTGGTTCTCAGGAATGTGGCAGTGGTAATGTCCCTGCGGCGGGGCCACATCTTACCGCAGGCTCTTCACAATATGTTCCACATTGTTGGTGTGGATGTTGTGTCTTTCAAGCAGGCCACTGTAGCTGGAGCCCTTCATAGCAAGCTGCAAAACACAAGACACAGCAACAAAAATGAAAGATAAAATGTCAGAGGTCACAGGCATGCCTGGAAGTGAAAGGCCCTCCTTACTTACCAGCTGTTTCAAGTCCTCTTCAGAGAGCCCCGCATAGCGATACCTCTGCTGTTCAAACTCATACCGTGTGGTCTTGGTGACCACCGCCACTTTCTCCGGTTTAAAGCCAGCTTTCGGCTGCGAGGAGGGGTTGCATGTTGAAGTGTGGAGCGGTCGAAGGGGGTTACCGTACAGCAGGCTGACAGCTCGATTCCCAAAGCTCACAAAGTTAACCACCGAGCGGCGAGTCATTCTTACAAGCGAGCACACAACCATAAACTCTACTCACATGTCCCGTTACCAGCGCTCAACGAGGCTCGGTGCTGCGGTTACGTAGCTGTCATACTGGTCCATATGTCTGTCCTCTGGCCAGCTGTAGCTACTGTCCATTCACAAACCACACACCCAGCTGTCACAGAAGGTCACCAGGTTCGAGCTCTTCCCTAGCTGTTAGGTGAACCGCTTATAACTTAGTGGTATTACTTTATAAGTGTCCCAGCAACAGTTAACATTAGCTAACGTTAACTAACGGCTAGTTATCCTAATAACCGTATTTGGTAAGGTTAAACAACACGTTACCAGCCGAGCTTAATAAGCTAAAAGCAGCTAGCACAGGTCGTAAGCGAGTGCTCACTGTATTTCATATGTTCCGCCTGGGGGTTGCTCTCTCTACAACCCGCAGTGACCCGCAGTGACCCGCTGTGCCCCTGTCCTCGGGTCCGAAGGTGTTTAAACGCGAGGTAACACACATGGACAGGTTAAGAATAAACGACAACACAGGAGAACACTGGGGACACTGCACGTACCATGCAACCTGGCACGTACCCCAGTTGTACGTACGCACGTACGCTACGTACAGTTTAATCTGATTGGCTACGTGGCTTTCACGGAGGTGACGTTTTGTTTTGGCTGCTGCCCCACAGCTCGTGATGCGTTCACAGAACTATAGTAAAATCATACATAAATATTATCCCATAAAGTTAGTGACTTGCAAATATTTTATATTAATATATTATTACTCCCTGCTAACAGTAATTAGTTACACTACTAGTTGTATAACTTTTCTGCAACTCCCCACAAAATAATTATGTCCTTTCTCCCCAAAATTCCGATTTATGATGATTAAAATCCAGTTTTGTTGTTAAAGTCAAAGTAAATGGGATAAGTGTTTACTCATTTTGAGAAATTTTACTTAAAGAACATTATTAGGGACCGAGCACTGACTGACCAGTGCAAGAACCAATTGTAATTCAAGGAATTATTATCATTATTATTATTATTATTATTATTATTATTATTATTATTATTCTGCCCCTTCGACCGCATATTTGGCGGCCTTAACATTCTCGAAAAGTCATGGAAAATTGCACAAAATTCAAACGTAGCTAAAATAAAGGGAAGGGTCCAGCTGCGGCTTGGGCGTACCCGTCATGACACGGGAGAGTTTCATCGACCAATCGCAATTCATACTTTGCAGTCACGTGGTTACCATGGATACCTGGTGGGCAAGAAACGCCGACTTCATCTGTCTATTATAACGTTAGTATATTTCGAGTGAAGTAGATTTAATAGACGTAATTGAAGTCAGAAAACAATCACAGTGATCTTGACTTTGGATATGGATGTTTATTTAGTTTGACAAATTCCATTCCAGGACTTGAATTACAGCGTGTTATATGTCAAATCACATGAGGAAATGATTGCCTTGGTTTTTCCGTTCAGTACGTAGTATGACGTTACTACGTACAATAGAATAAAAGCATTTATTTTGATGGGTGGGCGATTTTGCAAAACCTCGTAGATAATTACAACACCAGAACATTGTATTAAACAATGCAATTGTTGTTAGTTTTAATTTACTTGGGTGAAAGCAAACACAGCACTGTTTCTCTGCCTTCGCTGAATGAATGCCAGGGGAAACACCGACGTCCTGGCAAGATCCTTGACTAGTTTACTGGGTTTCGTTGCTGGAGAACGATGTTCTTGCCCGTCAGCCAGTAGTTGTGACGTCACGTGCAAAGTATGAATTGTCCTCAACAACTCGTAGAAATGTAGACTAGTCCTACACGTAAATATAAGCATATTAAGATGTAATTGGACTAACGTTCTGTAGATGGCTTAGCTTGCTAACGTTAGTTCTATAATACATATAATACTATAATACTACTAGATCTTAATTTGAAACTTCTGTTGAGAAACACTAACTAGCGAATGTTATATTAAACCGGATGTTGACAGTTACAGTTCAGCAAGAAAGGCGTAGAAGAAGGGGGCGTTCCAGTCAGCGAAAACGGGAACCCCCACCAGCACGAGACCGCCCATTTGTGGCTGCAGCTGGATGATATTGGAAATAAACGGCTAAGCCACACCCCCCAGAATCAGCCCCCAAGACACGTAAGGCCGACATGTACGAAAATTGGTACGCATGATAAAAGAAGCAGAAAAGTCTCTTGGACCCATACCTCAAACCCAACAGGAAGTTGGCCATTTTGGACGGCATGCAACGCGGCCGCAGCACGCCACGAGTTGTGTGGAGTGCGAGGTCCCGCCCAATGCTGCTTGCAGCTTTAATTTGTAATTATTATTCATCTTTTTTACATTATCGAGGCAATGAACAATATATAATTAATTTGTTCATTATTTCAGCTAAATGTTACATTCATAAAATTCATAGAAAGTTACTATCATATATTACGTTCAAAGAAACAGATCTGAACATATATCTTCAAACACTTTTATATTTAAACAATTGTAACTTGATATGTGTTTTTTTGTATTACAGTTTTAGTCTTTATGCATAATTTTGTCATCGCTACTTTTTACTGAAAACATGGGGCCTCATGTACTAAGACTTGCATGGATTTCCTACTAGAATGTGGTGTACACTGAAAGAGTGAATGTTCCGTACGCACAAAAAAAACGTGCGTATGCAGAATCTCACGCACATTGTCTTTGTACATCGCAATCAACGTGAAATTGAGCACACATGCACGAGCACAACGCTCCACCCTGTCCCCTCCCTCAAATACACTGATTTGAATATGCTAATTAGTATAAATAGGCCTAGATAGTGCTGTCTTTAGGAAAATGGCAAAAGCCAGGAAAAAAAGAAATTTTACGGAGTGTGAATTGGAGGTGCTGCTGACAGAGGTAGAGCCCAAAAACAAAAAATGACTTTGCGTGGCACAGGCAGTAAACTCGGTAGGGTCGGAGAACCCGCACCGCAGCGGAGTTGAAAAAGAAGTGGTCAGATATGAAGACATATCTGCCCATCGCCAGAGCCTTCAGGTCACAGGTGGTGGAGTCCCAATATTACGGTAGACTGATATACTGTACTGCTGTATTGTGAAAGGATTACGGTACGTACAAGACGTGAAGTCACCACGCTCCCAGTGAGCGCTAGTTGTTGTTGTGTGTGATCCATGCTGATGAGACGGCGGCACATCGGTCCGCACTTTATTGTTAACTGTTAAATAAATATGCCAAGAGCCTTAAGATAATTAGTGTGTTCTACTTATCCTCCATACGCAGTAGAGGACTGCGCGCTGCAGTAAATAACCCCCCTTAACACAAATAATCTGCAAATGATTTAAAATTGTGTAATTGCTTGATTTATTGTAAATAATAATGACTTTCGCATGCAGTGCAACTGTCCCGAGAGCAATTGTTAATTTTGGCTATGCAATTTCAATGTATCGCCTGTGAGTGTCGCCAACTGAAAACTGACATAAGCAAAAAATATGTACGTACGCCAGCAATGAAGCTCCCGTGGAGGACCGCACATTCTCACGTTCATTTCACTTTTAGTACATCCAAACGTGAATGTGAAAAAAGGCGTATGCACAAAATTTGTGCATACGTTGGTACATGAGGCCCCTGGACTTGTAAACAGCACTTATTTGTGTTGTCCAAAAACTTTCAACTGAAGTATAAAAAAAGCTTGTGATGTGTTCAATGATATACATAAAAATATACATATATAAATATAAATATATAAATAAAAAATACTGTTCATCACAGCTTTGGGTGGTAAATAAGGTCTGCCTTAAATGTGCCTTAAACAAGTCCCTCAGACACAAAGTTTAGGATGATCTATTGGCAGGAATGGAATACAATATTAATAGCTATGTCCCATTAGGGTATAATCACCTGAAAATAAGAGTGTGTTTGTGTAACCTCAGAATAAGACATTTTTATCTACAGAGGCAGAGTCCACCATGTTGAATCAACATTTTTCTAGCCTAGAAGGGACAAATCAAACGCTGGCTCTAGATAGAGACTTTCACATATTAGCAAGTTTGAGGTTTCATTACTGCATCATCACTGTGTTTTTGTTACCTCTAAAATGAGCCGTTTTTGTCTACAGATGCTACCAATTGCCTTACGTGGAGTCCGCCATGTTGAACCGCCATGTTTCTACTGTAGTCCAGAACAGACAAACCAAACACAGTGAGTTTTGTGGCAGTTTCTCCTACGGACTTCACAGCCCTTGCTCATTATCAGATTTATACAAAATCCTACATACTGGTCCTTTAAATGTAATTGCAACAGAAGTAGCTAATAGCTCATTTGCATCTGCTGTCTCTGGAAAGGTAGACAAAAAAACAACCACAGAACACTAAATATATTAAACAAACAATACATAAAAGTACATCAATGTGAGATGATATCATATATTATAAATACAGTAAATATAAGGCAGTAACGGAAGGGAGGTCTAGTATTTTTAAACAATATGGCACTGTCTTTTAGTGGGACCTGTCTTAACAGGTTGTCCCAATAAAATGAAATAAAGGGCCCTGCAGAACCCTGTGTCAAAATTGTTTATATTGTGCTTGCGTAGTAGATTTGCCTCTTAAAAGTTGTGTTTCATCAATTTGCCCAAATGTCATTTCAGCATAGTACTACTGGTTGCAATGGACATAATGGGAACTAATGGGGTACATATTCTCAAGAAAGTTGAGCTCCCTGATCCCTAAAACCACTTTGGCACAGAGATTGTAATAACGAAAAGCTGTATAATGACTGAAGTTGATTCTATATTATGTATAATAATTGAAGTTGATTCTATATTACAAAATTAAATATGTAACAACGAAAGGAAAACAAGATTATATGATTGTAACTAGTTGTTTGATTAATAATGAGTATAAATGCATAACAGTCAGTTAGGAACTATGGAAAATAAGACACCAACAACTCCAGGCAGCGGCCCAACCCAAACCAGTCCCTGTCAGAGGGACTCGCCAGGAATGGCCCAGTGCGGAAAAACAGCGGAAGAAGGCCCCGAAGCAGAGGTGGACACAAGAAAGAGCTATCCACTGAGGTCCGAGGCACGAAAGACTAGCTTGCCCAGCCCCAAGAACCGACAGGTGACACCGCCCCGGTGGAAAGAAGAAATCAAAATGGGCCTCGTAGACTATGAAGGTCAGGTCAGCGAATCAGACCAAGAAGCTGGCGATTCAGAAGGAGATGAGGACAGCCTGTCCTCAGTTGCAGGGCAAACTACAAGAATTACAAAAGCCTAAAGAATTGCAGGTAGGACAACAAAAGGGAGAAAAGAAGGAAATTGAGCTACTGCGTGCGTCAAACCTCGGAGAGGATGGCAAGGGAGCCCAAATGGGGCCTGGTAATAACTAAAGATGAAAGACAGGCCTACATACCAGAGGTCGGTCAGAATGATTATAACATCCCAGAAGCATGGACCGTTAGGCTGGAAGATCGGAAGGCGCTTGAAATGACTGCCACAATGGGGGAATGGGCTAACATCCTCATGATGCCCACTTACCCCACATTAGCAGCAAGCAAAAGCCCAACCAGCAATTTTAGAATAGGATATACA